TTCTCAACTCCAGGTCAACTGCACATCATCGGGACATGGAACAGCGCAGGTAGCCTTCCAGCCCAGCTACCCAGATCCCCAGCAATCTAACACTCAACCCCCAGGTATCGGAGGCCAAGAAAACAGCTTCAGAACCAGCTACTTCTGTTCCGCTAGCACATCCGCCGGCACTAGCAAAGTAAACGACTAGGAGAACAACAACTTCTACAATCTGGATATCCCTAGTTGTCCCTCTACCATGCGCATTGTCAGGTCTGCGGACAGTTTCGCGGGTGACTGCGGAGCGGCGACGAATGACGCGGATCGTGACCATTCGGTAGAGTATGGGGTGTTGATTGATACCGTCTCATCCCCGAACGCGGCGGTTGGTAATTGCTATTACGGAAGCGCGCAGCTGAGGAAGTATTGTACTAGTACGGGGAGTGTTACGTATCAGGCAGCTGTCGTATGTCTGACGGGGGTTTGTGGGGGGCCGTTGGAGAGCGACTTTGAGCCTGGGGCTTGAGAGGGTTGGCGAGGCCGTGTTGGTTTGGAGAGGACAGGTGAGTTGGGCGGTAGCTCAGGATGGTAGCTCGTTGCGATGAATCCTGGAAACTGTTCACTGTTGTTTGTAGTCAGCTAGCTCTGGCAATCGATGAATTGATAGGAGAAACTACGATGTGGACAACTGCCTGACTACGACATTGACCTTGATATGCAATGTAGGGTAGAAGTCATAACTGCCTGGGGACGACATAGACCTTGATATGTGATATTGGGTAGATACGGCGATTATGTGGCTGCCACGCCCACCTTAAAGTCTCGGATCGCAAAAGTGCGTTTGCGTACGAGATGGTTGTGTATTGCGGGAGTCGTGAGCGACTCGTGCCGCTGGAAGTAGAGCTTCAACTGTCTCAGAGGTTCTCTTACTAGACATGAAGCTCACGTCGCCCGGATTGAACAACTATAGTCGACATACTGTAGTGCTCTCAACCGTGTGGAGAAGATACGGCACTGCCTACCAATCTGCTTAGAGTCACAATATGTGACCCAAGTCTCAGGTGTCGCACGGCTGCGGCCGCGTATCATCGAAGAGTCCGGAATCTTGCTCTATTGTTGAGGAGAGAAGGGCGGTGTAGTTTGTCTTGAAGACATCTGGAAGAAGAAATGCTATAAACTAAGGAGACCATAGATATAGTAGCAATGCCTAAACTCCCGAGATAGTCACTGGAGGGAACTAAATCGGATGAGTAGTGGTCGCTTGTTAACCGTGCTCTCTGATGAGCAATGGTTAACGGATCCTCGACGTCTCAGTGTGGAGCTGACGAGGTGCAGGTATACTTGACCTGCGCAAGAATGAAGAAGAAATGCTATAAACCAAGGTGACCTTAGATATAGTAACAACGTCTAAACGACCGAAATAGTCACCGGAGGCAACTATTCGTGAGGAGTAGAGGTTGGTTTGTCGGCCCTGCTCACTTAAGAGCAATGGCTAACGGGTGTATATCTCGACGTAGAGATAAGGTGCAGGTATACTTGACCTGCGCAAGGACCGCAAATTCTTAGCTACCGAGGGTCGGCTTGCACACTAGGTGTGCGTTGAACTGGGAAGTTTGCGGTGCAGAGCAAAAGAGCGACGGGCAAAAAGTTGTATACATCGGGTAGGCGCTAGCCAACGCTAGCCAGCGCACGGACGGATAGCGTAGCGATGAGGTGAGAAATCCCAACCCGTCTTTGGTGTTCTGCTGCTGCTATCAATGGGAAGCTTCTGGAGGCGTCAGATGTCAGGCGTCTTTGTCGCTCGAGACAGAGAGTTGTATGTGAACTGAAGTAGCTTGGAAGGTGCGCAGCAGCGTCACGATAAAGCTACAATTAGAGTGTGGCGCCAACGCCTCCACAGCCACGGCCCCAGCCGCAAGCACGCACCATCGGATCGTCTTACGTACCACTCTGTGATCTCGTTCAGGGAGCGCGGGTTGCCTGCGGTACAGGCTACAGCGTTGCCGTCATTGCTCGCAGGAGGATGCACTGCGATTGACGTTCAGAGCCGTCGCATGCATTCCTGCGACAAAAGCAATGTTTCCTGAGATGAACGAGCGTGTGGAGACCTGCGACGTCAGGCCGTTCGTGCTGTTGATGGTGGTGTCAGATGGCGAAGGGTGTCTGGACTGGGTCAACTTCGGAGCTGGGTATGTTTCACCAAAAGAAAAAAAAAACGCTTGACCGCTGAGCGTTGTACGAAAATGCCGCGTGGAGGATTGATTCATGCATGTCACTCTCATTTCGGTGTCTGGTGTGATGTCTGCGTCCTGGTGCGCTGTGGCGGGCGGTTGTCTTCCTTGGGTTGTCGATGTTTACTGAACAATCCAGCATGTTTGTTACAGATATGCAGCCAGATATCTGAAAATTCGATGTCGACGACATAATGTGGATACTTTGAGTCAGTGGGTTGTCTGCAGCCTTGCTGTTCCTGTCGACACACAAGCTTCCCGCCCCTTGCTTCACCAGGTAGTGGGGAATGCCAAGCGGATCTCGAACCACGCTACCAAAAGTTCCGCGAAGCCTGACGTGGTCTGTGAAGAACGGGGTTGTGTTTGGTGAGGCGGCTCGATGGCACCGATCTCTTTGTGCTGGTGCACGTTTGCAACTTCAATATACTAAGAACTGTGATGGCGACGATCACAACCAGAAGCGCTGTGACTCCATTGTGGTGTTGGGTTGTTTCTTCCACCACTCAAGTGCAATGTTTTCGCGCTGGGACATGCCCGCGCGCAACTTCACCAGATGTACCATCGTGGTCTCCTGCCATCAATATGTGTAAGCGTTGCGAGGACACAACGTATGTCGCAGCCGTTACTACTTGCTTTGGGCGTAGAACACGGGATTTCTGGACATGACAGCTGTATCCGCAACCTTCTTCCAACCAAAAACACTTGACATGCTGCAGATTAGGCTTAGCTTCCACGCCTATGTTGTTCTCCGTGCTGTGCGCACAAACACCTCCCATTGGAGGAACTTCCAGGTCACCTCTTTGAAACGCATCGCTCTTGGCGTAAAAGGCGAAACGGGTAGAGACCGCGCGGATCACGATTCGCGAATCCAAGGACTGTTTCAAACAGATGAGCATAACCGCCAAGCACAAAGCCCATGAGGGTAGGGCGGAGCCGTGTGGGTTCAATCTATATGCGATTTCGCCAAACCTGCAAGTTTCCGCAGTTGTCCCGACGGCAGGCATTCAGAAGATGTCGGAACAGATCCGTGGATGGTATAAGATGGAGCGGGAGACGCACTCAAAAATCCGTACTCACCATCGAGCCAACAACAGTCTTTTACAGTCTTTCAGCTTTCTCATCTTCTTTCAATCCTTTGCTCGACGCATTACATTCGCTAGCCGAACCCAACGTCCTTCTCTCCATTCCAACAGCCTTTCAGCTCTCCAGCTTTCCCAACTCCAACCTTTCCAACTATCAACATGAAGGCCTCCGTCGCTGCTGCCATCGTGGCTTTCGCCGTCGCCGTCTCCGCCGGTCCCAGCAAGCCTTCTCCCATGAACTTCTTCAACCTGAACAAGCGGGCGAGCTTGCCTATCCCGGCCTCCAAGGGCTCCCAGACGCTCAAGGAGCCCATGGAGATCACTGGCACCTTTGACGGTGGTCTCAAGACCTACGGTCGTGGCGTGTCTTGCACTGGCCAAGCCGAAGGCGGAGATTCTGACGCGGTCTTCATTCTCAAGGTATGTCACGGCTGTAGGAAGTGCATGTGAGACATATACTGACTTCGTACCTCTACCTCTACAGGATGGCGCCACCTTGAAGAACGCGATTATCGGAGAGGACCAGATCGAGGGTGTCCACTGCGAGGGCAGCTGCACTATCGAGAACGTTTGGTGGGCTGCTGTCTGCGAGGACGCGCTTTCTCTCAAGAAAGATGGTGACGCAACTGGTAAGAGGTGTTTACACATACTTCAGGACTGAGCTAACGCCTTCTAGTGATCGGTGGAGGAGCTACCGGCGCTGAAGACAAGGTCATCCAGCAGAACGGCGCTGGAACTGTCACCATCGACGGCTTCACCGTTGACACCTTCGGCAAGCTATACCGCTCCTGCGGTAACTGCAAGCAATCCGCCGAGCGCCATGTTATCATGAAGAACGTCAAGGCCTCCAACGGCAAGCTCCTTGCTGGCATCAACCCTAACTTCGGAGACTCCGCCACGATCGACGCTACCAACTGCGCCAGCTCCGTCAAGGTCATTTGCGAGGAGTTCAAGGGTGTTGCTTCTGGCAGCGAGCCAGAGAGCGTTTCCAAGGGCCCCTCTGACTCTTGCATCTACAAGGAGCCCCTCTCTTCTTGCTAGGTTGCCTCGAGCAAGACTTCAAACAACGTGTGGAGGATGAATCGGCGGACATCGGTGGATTTTATTGGATGGCGGGGATGCAGTGCATCTGTTGTGCTCGCTCTGGAAGCATTGTACATACATTGACTTCTTTCTTGTATATATTGGCGACATAGAGTTGCGCGAATCGAGAAGGTTGCTTTGCGAATATTCTGATGACAAGTGATTTGGGTGTCGTGTGGATTCCGAAGTCGTGAACCGCGCGCACTGCTGTAGAGGTGGGTGTAATTCGTGTTGCACTCTACGAAGATGTCGTTAGCAGCATCATGAAGGTAGACGCATACATAACCTTGAGGCCTGCCTAGATGTTAGGATTTAATGGCGTGTATGCAGCAAACGGCAAGAATTCCAGCCTCCTCGGCCCCTGATGCTGATGACGTAGGCGGGCGCTAGTCTCAATGGGACGACACGCGACACGCGACGCGACACCTCGAAGAATGAACACTTGCGAAGAGATTATACCACAAGGGTGCATTGTATCTAATACTTGCTGACACACTGACAGTGCTTCTAACCGTGGTGTAGAGCTGTGCCGATGTCATTACCGCCTCTTCGTGTAACATCCTTTCTCTCTCTTCTCTCATCCAATCTTCGTCCATAGATCGTCACCAACCGTCAAAATAGCCAACTACTCTTCCACCACAAAGTCGCTCTCCTCCAGCCGAACTCCGCTTAGCATCCTACCCAGATGGGTCTTCTCGACGCCTTCTCCTTCCCGCCGGATCTTCATGAGTAGCGCTCGCAGGAAGGGCACAGGAGACTTCTCTAGCCCCCAGATCCCAGCTGGCGGATCAATGAAGCCATCTGCATAGACCTCCTGACCGTCTTTCGCTGTTCCCTTTAGAAGACCAAGACAGTCACAGATCTCGGCGTACTCCGACAGCGATCGTAGATAGAGACTCCCGGCGAAGAGATTCAGCTGCATCGTCAAGCTACGCGAGACTGAACCAGGCAAGAAGTTGCGACCGACATTGTATAGCATGAGATCATCGACCGATGCGTAGCTGGCATTGGAACGCGGCGCGAAGATATGCAGGCAGACTGTCTTCGACTGGCGGAGAAGAGGTAGCAACTGATTGGCCTCGTAGGGACTCACAATGATGAGGTTGCTAACAGTTCCCTTGCGATGGACGGAAAGTACGAATTGCACAGGTCGTTGGTACGAGTCGGATACGAAAGACGCGCGGGTCGATCCTGGAGGAACTTGAACAGTGTGTATGAAGTCCGCTGTGACCAGCAAGTCGTCAGGGAATTTGCTCAGATCAACATCCTTGGCAGCGCTCGTGGTGCAGAGGGCTTCAAAGGCCGGTCCCCATGCTTCTGAACTGAAGCAGAACTCTCCTGTATCGATGAGGCGCTTGAGGTCTGGGTGAAAGTTATGTGGATGAGCCTTCAGGCGCGGTGGGCGCTCGATTTGGCGCTCTTCTTCGATCTCCGGGGCGAGTTCGCGTTCCTGCTCCTCCGATAGCGCAGCTGAGCCAAAGCCCATGGCTTCGAAATCACGGCATCGTGATACGATCTTGACGATGTTCTCATTAGATTCGTCCCAATCCTGGAGGTGCTTGGAGCCATCATCGTCTGGCTCGCGTGGCTTGTATCGAGTCTCCAGGCTTGCTGCTTCCTCTTCTAGGAACTCTTCCGCTGTTCCTTTGGTCGTGTTGGCACCGTCCAGCAACAAGTGCTTGTGGCTCTCGGATCGGTTCCCCTGCACAGCCCACGGTGGGAGCGAACGTTTGATATCAGACCAGGTCTCGCCTATCGCCCACGCCAGTACCTCATAAACGTCGATTGGGGTACCGGGCGGTTTGCCGTTTCGTTCGTAGATCTTGGTACGTATCTCCCCGGGTACGACAAAGCACACCGATTGGCCATTACCGAGCTTTCGTAGTCGCATAGCTGCTTGTGTGAGGCGATCCTTGGTCAGTTGACTGCCTAACGTCAGGGCAGCCCGATAGTGTCGCGGTAATCCTGGTATGTCTGTTCCCCGTGTATGGCTCTCGTCCAAGTAGACGACACACGAATCTAGCATCTTCGCGTATGGAGATGTCTGGAAGGATTCGATCTTGGAAGAGCGATCTAGGACAGACAGTTCCTCGTCCTCAAAGTATACCACGGCTGCGACGTCGTTGCCTCGTAGCTTCAGCCAGGCTTCAGCCACCTCTCGGTTGTTCATATCAAGGATTGATGCGCCGCAGTCCAGTATAACTCTTATGTCTGGATGTAACCCCTCGATGAAAGCAAGAAGATGCTGTCCATCTTTACTGCTTGTACTACCGATGGCGCGTGTGGGTAAATGGGCCACAGAAGTCTCATCCATCAACAGATATGACAAGACCCGAGCGTTGGTGTGTTGTTGGCTCGGCAGATCAAGTTGGTGCATGTTGAGTGGAAGAAGATGCCGGGTATCGTTTGTTCCCGAGAAGCCGGTCGTGGGATTCGGTTTCTGGATCGCCAAATCCCATCCACTCGCACTGAGCTTTAAAGGGAACTGCTTCAGTTCCTTGGGGAACACGAGGTGAGAGACGAAATAGTCGACAGCCTTCTTGGAATGCCGTAAACCTGGGAATACCTCCTCAACGCACTGATGCTCATCGCGTATGGAGAAGCCAGAGAGCTGTCTGAAGGCCTCGGGTAGACTTGAAGACGCGGTGCTGACGAACTCGTCGAAGTGAATGGTTGCTTGATCGGACTTCAACAGATGAATCAAGGTATCGAACAGGTCCTCGTTCTTAAGACCCTCGTAGTACCAAGATAACAAGCTCAACAAAATCAGAACGTCAGGGTGTGAGTATTCACTCCTAGGTGAAGGAGAGTCCTTGCTGCGATATGGTACGGCTAGTCGAGTGGCTGGAATGCGTGTGTTGTCGAGACCAAAGTTGACGCGGTATCGCTTCTGCGAGAACACAAAGTTCAGCACGCCCCCTGCAAATAGCCCGCGCAGAAGTAGTAGTGCCGGCTTAGTCGTCTCGGTCCAAAATTTGCTGTGTTCGACTTTCTCGATCTCACGAGGTTCCAGCTCCGTTACGGATATGTAGCGCAGTATCGCGGCCTGCATGGTGGGAGACTGCGAACGAGATGGACTTCCTACGCCTGATTCAACGACCTTTGTCGCGAGTAGACGCAAAGCCAGATCGGCAGCGTCAGGTCGTAGGAACCTAATCCTGGGGTACCGCCCGTCGCCATCGCCTTCTATATCGATCGCCTCGGGATGGATCTCCTTGACCTGCTTCGCCACAGGGGGGATTAGCGCTAGAAGATCCTGAATGATCAACCATCGCTCTGGAGCGTATTCTATAGAACTCTGACTGCCCATCGTGTAGATGAGCTCAAACTTCGTCGAGAAGTTCTCATCACTCTCATCGATACAGTCGCATGACACGTCGTCGAACCATTGCTGAGTTGCTAGCAGTTTCCGAGCGGTTTCTGGCTGATCAATGAGAACACATTCCACTGCCATCAGCTTGAAAGACTGTAGGGGTAGAGGTACGAAGTCAGTATGTGTCTCATATGCCTTTCGTATAGCCATGACTTACCAGGATATGCTCCGGTTGAATCAGTAATACACCGCGCTCGCGAATGCATTCTTCGTAGATCTCGCGGATGGTGACGGCATCTTGAGCATTAAGTCGGAGGTTGCGTGAGAAGGGCATCTGATAAACTTTTCGGTTCAAGAGACCACCAAGCTTAGCGACCAGCATTTGCAGCATCTGCCGGCTCTGGGGTTTTGCGATGACCACTCGGACAAGCCTAGTTTCTAATATTAGTATGCTGTCGTCCGGTCGGTTGGGCTTAGAGACACTTACTTCTTCCTGTCTCCATGAAAAGCACTCAGTATGGGAAGAATAGTTGAGCTCTTGCCACCGCCCATGAGCAGTTGAAGCACGATATTCCAGCCATCTTTTGGCGAACGCATCTGGCTAGCAATAAACTCCTGTTCGGCTCGTACAAGAATTCCGCTCTCAGCCTCGATGAGAAGAGTCTCTGGGTATTGATGCACATCCCAATTGCTATGTCCAACATGGCGGAGCTCCTCCACGAGATCGACCGGCTTCTTGGATAAGCGGAGCAGCCGCTGAGCGCGTTGTAGATTGGTGATAGCGAGCGCATACTGAATGACAATTTCTTTCCAGGCAGACGATAGTGTGTCGAATCGGTCTCTGTGTAGTTGACCGAGCCAGAACTTTGTACATAATCGTGGCGACAGCTGTGTTTGAAAGGCGACTTGGTGGCTAAAAAGCCCCTTCAATGCGGAGTTGAAGGTCTCGAGATGGTTCTGGCACTTGCTGAGGTAGTCGTGCAGCAGAGCTTGAACATCTGCAACTAACTCGTCATGCATGACATCGCTGTTGACAAACGAGTTGAGGGCATCGCAGCTTGATCGTAGATTCTCAACGTACTCTCGCTCACACTTGGAGGTGGCGTAGACCATGTTTCTTCGACAAAGTTCCTCAAGCCTTTCATTCACCTCCGAATGCTTCTCAGGCAGATGTCCTTTGGCGACCGTAACGGCAGGCTCGGAAGGAGCTGTTAGTGAGAGGGTTTCGATGGACCGAGATGGCCTTAAAGCGAACACATCCAGGACGCTGAGATGCCGAGTGGAGTCGCTGAGCTGAGGCTGCTTTGGCGGCGAGGTAAGGATATGCTGTGGTGCCACAACCGGCGACGCCACCTGTCGTGCCATGATCGTTGACAATTTGCCGAGGTATTCCATGAATAAGTGGTTATCGTACCAGCTGTAAAAGTGATTCCGGATAGTGACCATTGCATCGGAAACATTGACATACGTGTCAATTGCAGCCGCCTGCGGTAATGTAGGAACCTGAATTGGCCACTGCTTCTTCAAGCCGCTCACGAAGTTCTGGATCGCACTATTCTTCCGTTGTCGAAACAAGGAGTTCATTCTGTTGTGATGCTGCTCTTCAGTCTCTGATGCCGACTTTGGTGACATCGCTTCACGAGAATCTTCGAATGGCTTGGCGTTGTTATGAAGGATGTTCTCAATCGTGGTTTGGTGAAAGACATGTCCCTTCGCTAATTCGAACGTTGAAGCAGCAGGTGGTTGTACTGTGGAGAAATCCTGTGAGATATAGAATGCGGCAAAAGCCTGTATGACATTCATATCCGATGTTCCGTATGCCATCGTGGACAGCCATGTGATTATGTCGTATCTGTTTTTGCTGCTGGTAGACACGCCAGCTAGACCTGGTTGTAGAGTGCACCATTGCTCTATGATTGCTTTTGATGCATCGTCCAGCCACTTTGAATCGTATCGGAGACTTACAGGATCGAAGGAACGATTCACTCCGAGGATGGTAGCATGTTTGAAGTGCTGTTGGAGAAGCCTGACTTTGAGGTCTGTGATAGGGCCGTGAAGGCTGAATCGATCCCGTAGCATTAGCTTGGCTGTCGTATGAGACTGAGCTCCTCTCTTGGAATGTAATTGGACGTCTCGCCGGTCGTAATACGAGTCTTCTGCAGAGCTGAAGTGCTCTGCACCAAAGCCGGCGACGTGGAACGTGGCAGTGCGAATTGAAGCTCGCTCATCCAAATAGGCAGTTGAAGACGACATCAATTTCTTCTGGGTTTTTCTGATCAACTCGAAGTCATTGTGTTTGTCAGGGTAGAAGAATTGCATCCTCCCAACCTGATGTAATAGGCTCAATACGAGAGACCGCAAAGAAGTATGTTGCGATAGCGATGGGAGACTCGTATCCCACTTCGTACGCTGCATTACTTTCAGGTTCTCGGGATAAAACGATCTCGTAGCCGAGAGATTTGCCAGACAGGTCAGAAGATCTATATCTTCTGGTGCGAGAAGGTCGATCGATCCCACAGCTGCCGATCCCAGAATTGAGATAGCTGACTCAGTGCCGGTACATCCAGTCAGAGGATCGGGTAGGCAGTGAGACGTTAGCGCGTGCATGTAGCACAAGATCAGGCGGCTTCGCAGGCTTCCATCTCCAGTTATCTGGCCAAGAGTCTCGTCGATGTCATAAGCGCGAATCCGAGTTGCCGAGTCTTCTAGAATTCTGACCTCAGGATGGTGTAGATCTCCCTTCGCGAAACCGACTGATCCTTCCGGAATGATCATCATTCGCCGACCTTCCGCTGACCTCAATATCAACCGGCTTTGCATGCCAACAAGGGCACCCATGGTTTGATCAGAGTCGATAATCATGTCGCGAAATTGGCGAGAGCGCAAATGGTCACTCGCTTCGACAAATTCGAACGAGATTTGTAGTCGCGGTAGCTCTATCTCGACGCGGAGATCAGAAGTATTGTCTGAACCAACAAGACGCATGTGCATGTGTAGCGGTTTCTCTAGGGGCGCCAAAATGCTCGAGATGGTACGAGCTGTAGGGCTACGCACGCAGATCATAACCTTGTCTTTGTTGACTAGCCGCCATGACGTTCCGTGTCGTACGAGGCGCCATCGTGTATCATCGTCTTCAGTCGACCAGGGAGCATACATAGGCCGAAACAAGAGCTCTTGAGCGTTGAAATCATACCAGTGTACGGCATCTGTCACAAATGACTCAGGTAACAAGCCCTGAAAAAGACGTGAAGGTACCAACTCAAGCCGCCTCGTACCCTTTCCGAAAGCGGACAGGATCATATCCTGGCCCGTCATTCCGAAGTGAAGGTTGTAGCCATGGTATAGAGTCTTGGCAGAGAACCTGAACCCAAGTTCATCGGTTGGCACAACTTCCAGAGCTGATTTGTGGAACAAAGGCTCATACATCCTGTGGCGCTCGTACTCGGCAGGAAGACGAGCGAGCGGAAGGCCATTGACAAGCAACTCTCCAGTGAGTAAGTTGAAGTGCACAGGAAGATTTCCGGATGTCGTGAGCATCCATTGCTTTTGGCGATTCTCGTTCAGTGAACACCAAGAATTACTGGAATTCGATTCTTCGAATGCGGCCCAATTCGCTTTGATGGCATCCGAAAGACCGCTGTCATCCTCGAGGACGCGATTTCGTAGTGTCGGAAGGATGCGATACATCAATGACTTCCACGACTGTAGTGAGATACCGAAAAGCTCTGTGAAATCCGACTGCATGGTTCCACAGTGCTCTTGCACAACAATAGACGATTGAAGCAACGTTGAGATTGCCGACTTTTGCTGAAGCACAGTCTCAAAGTCAGGCTCTTCCACATCATAGGTCGAGGTGCACAGCAGCGCTACCTCTGTAGCGCGGCTCCAAAGTTCTGTGCGCTGGCCGTCGTCCGTTGAGGCAGCCACCCGCTTCTTCAAGCGTCGTAACCATTTCAAGCAAACCGCTCGCAAAGTCTCAAGGTAATCAAGCGCGCGAGAACGAACGTCCTGGGCTCGTGTCAAGCTCAGTACTCGTCGAGCGAGTAAGGAGAATGTTGCTGCAGCCCTCCATGATTCCCAGTTTTCTTCGATGCGGCCCAAGTTGCTCTCAAGCTGCGCGAGCATAGCATGGCCAAACGAGGTTTCTGTAAGGATAGAGTGGCCTGACCGCTCGATGCACTGACTTGGCGGACCCGCCTGATGTACAGCCTGGAGAATTATACATTGCGTCTCGATCTTTGTAAAGTCGACTGATGGAATCGCTAGCTGAGCAAGAATGTTCGAATGAACAAGGTTGCTCCCAAGCGGTAGCGCGCCCAAAGCCTTATACTCATCGATCGAGAAGTGCATTGGACAATCAGACAAACTGGCGATAACTTCGTTGGCTGGTAAACCATCGGGCGATGTTGGTGGGCGATACATGAAGCGTTCAAGAGCCTTTGATCGCGTTGGCATGGGGTATAGGCATTTCTTCGGGACTTCTTCTGTACAACTGGGCATGCTAGCGTTGAAGATGCCGCTGGAAACGTCGTAGTAGGCGTATTGTAAAGCGTTGTCAAGGCAAACATCGTCATCGTTCAAGTGAGGAATAGCTTTCTGCAACTTCCTGTGGGTGGCAGTGTGGCTCTTGACATTTGAGAGTGGGACTATTCTCCGTCGATGGTACCCATTGGATAGCAGATGGGACAGATCCTGGTGGTTGTTGAGCGTGTATGAGTGTGACGGTCGTAATTGGTTCGCATCCTTATAGCCGAGAACCGTGGTAATGAAGTGCGCTGAGGCATCGCGCCAGTTGCTGTAGGGATCCGGTACAGCCAACTCAAACACCGTAGCCTTTGCTACAGGTGTTTTTGAGGAGACTGGCCATTCGTAGATCCGGATCGTAAGGAAATCTGCCTTGGCCTTCGCTGCACATCTGCTGCAGTTGTTGGAGTGGACCTTTCGTCTGTAGCCGTGTCTGCGATTGTAGATCTCCCATACCTCCTCACATACGTTGCTATTGTACTGGTCCATGTACTGCTGATACTGTAGCTTGAGATCTGCCAGCTCTTTACACTTCCGCTTGCGCTTGGCAGCGGCATCAAGTTCGATATCTGATAATGTAGCCTGAAGAGTCTCGCACCGATCAAAGTATCGGACAGAGAACGAGTCAGGGTCTCCAAGCCTTCGATAGACAGAAGGTCTTCCTTTCACCGCTGTGGCCTGTCGCATTCGTACATAGCGCTCTGAAGCGTCCAAGCGGTTCAGGTGGCTCTTGAGGGGAAGCGTAAGGCATTGAAACTCGGCCAGATCGACCTCAGGATCATAATCAAGCAGCATGGGATATATCGTGCATGCGATCCGGTCGCATGCGATCCAAAGCCCAGTAAGCGTCAGATACATGATAGATAGGCCGATAGGCACTCCAGCATAGGTGCTACTAGCAACGTCATAGTAGCTAGTCATGATTGTACGTAGACTCCCGCATGCATCTCCATCGTGGAGATGTGAAGTGTACCAGTCAACAAGATGATGCTCGACCCACTTCTCGAAAGCGGCTAGGCGGAAGTATTTGTCTTCATGAGAACCGAACGACTTTATGCTTTCCGGTAATTGAGTAGCTGGATAAGATGGATACCCGGAAGTGGGAGTGAAGGTAGACGACGAGACTTCTCGCTGACGAGACGTGACCGCCAACAAGAATGCATCTAACCCGGAGAGTTTCATGTCGACATCGGCCTTAGGCTTGAGCTGGGCAACGGTGCTGAAGTCGATATTGGCCTGAGAGTTGTCGATCTGATCCTGCCAGTGCTGGTTGATGAATTTGTGGGCGTTAAGCATCCGGTCATGAATATGTTGTGCCCAGCCTGGCTGTAGGTACCCTTCTTGCTTGAGAAGCTCGAACTTGCGTAGCCGTCGGGATAACTTGGCTAATGTGATATGAATCGCCTCGCTACCCATATCTTTCCAGTGCTGTTTCCCCAGATCGAGTAATCGTGATAGCATAAAGATCATGAAGGCTTTGTACAGACCGTCGGCATGGAGACTGGAAGGTGCTTGTCGGGAGAACAGTAGCTGTAGCGATACGCGTAATAAGAGCCATAATGGGGACCGTCGCCATGGTGCAAAGCAGTCATTCCAAAGAACCTCTTCCCGGGTATATTTCGTGCTATGGCGTACATCTGTCGGCTCACCGAAAGCAGCGATAAGGTTCGAAAAGAAGTCGGTTGTCATGCCGGGATGCGTCGTGTCGCGCTGTTCGTCCATGCTCTTGTTGTTTTTGGTTATCTTGGGCTGGAAGCCAGGAGCTGTCTGGGTCGTCATTGTAGCTATGGTCCTGGAGATCGATTCGATAAGATCGGGGTTGACCTTTCCGATAGGTATCTGTGATGCATGGGCAGGGAACTCTCGTACTAGTCGGCCTGGATGCATAGCCGCCTCGTTCGTAGGAGAAAGCTCGAAGAACTCGAAGACCAAGTTGTCTGAAGATCGGCTGATAAAAATCCCGGCATTCTGCTCTTTAATCTCCAGTGGAACTTTACCAGTAGCGACGCCGTTTGCGACATTGGCAAGAACGTCTTGAACTTGACATTCACAGTTATTGCCGTGGCGGTCCCGGCACCTGCGAAGATTTTTGACTGTTATGACGGCGACTTCGACTGAGCCGACATGCTCGCTGTTGACAAAGGGTTTCAGAGACTCAAGGGCGTGAATGGCGATATCGACAAGAGTCAAGTCGTGCGCGGCGTTGCGGTCGTCCTGCTGCGGGAGCTTCGGAGGAAGTACCAAATGGTGATAGGCGTAGGCCGTAGCCGCTGCCGACGCCATGGTGTAGACACCACAGTGAGTACACTATATGATAGATGAGTCAGCTTGTGTAACCTTGCCTGAAAAGGAGCATGTTTCAGGGTATAGGTATCTGCTGTGCGAGTAGCACTTGCGCTGCAGGCGCGACGGACCCCACGTACCTAATGGGCTCAGCTATCCGGTCTGTCTATTCAGAATGCAGAATAACATTCAAGGTGTTGACCCAGTAGCAAAGATGGGATAGCAACAGTCGCGACCAAAAACGATGAGGAGAAAGTGTGGTGTCGTGGTAGCGAGAGCGGTAGTCTAAGGTGGGGGAAAAGACGAAAGACGGTGGACGAAATCTCTGTACGACGCAAGAAAAATGCTCGCTTGAAAGAGGTGAAATTCGACTGTGCGCGTTGTTGTTGTCTTAAACAGGCAAACAGACTTCACCTTCACTTGAGCACTCCAGGGCTGCGCAGCGATTGCCCACCGCCTCATCACTTCGCCGCGACATGGGCGTCGCTGTCTGCAAAAAAACAAGGCTGAGTACACTGAAATGTCCACGCCATATCTGATATGCTCTTCTGCTTCATGCATTGGAAGACCACGCGCCATTCCACTCAGTAAATAACCCAATGGTGTGGCTGTGTGGCGCGTGCGTGTAGTACAAACCCAGGATGCGCAAGGCAACAGTCCCAGGCTGATTCGACGCCAAATACAATTCCCAAGAGGCCTCCCTCAATTTGTGTCTCTTGCATAATCCAGCCTCCTTCTCTTGCTGATAGCCATCATCTGAAAGACGTGTGCCCGCGCAAGGCTATGACGTCACGCGTTGCGGCGAAGCTGGGCCGCGCAAGACGCGTCTGCTGTGCCTCGTTGACATTGTCATGGAATTGATGCGTGCAGTGATGATGGAACGTCAGTATTCGAGACCAAGAGGATGGATGTTCGCATGCGAAGAGCGAGCGTTGATGTGTCGTTACCTAGGTAAGAGCAACCTCGGGATCGAGCCTACAAACGTCGTCTGCCTTGGCATCCGCGCTAAATGATCATCGGAGGATGAGGGCCGTTTTTGAGCTAGCCAGCCCGCGCCGTACAGCGCGTATTCTCATCCTTGCATCCCTTGCCTGTTCAACCCGCCATCTCCTTCGTCCATGGCTTCTTGTGCGGCCATTTCGCTGCTCCGCGGCAACCTTGTAAGATCCAGACTTTGTTTACCCTGGACCTGGTGCGTGCAAGTGGCACGACTGCTTCGCGTGCAATCTACTGCACATTTCGGAAGTCGAATATGCACACAATCCTTCCATCTTCCTAAATGGGCAGCAACACCGGTACCTGCGCCCTCCAAAAGATCTAGGTGATTTAGATCAATTGCAGCATGCAATGCTTCCCGATGGATTTGAGCCGCGGAGGCGGATGGTTATTTCCGTCCGGAGGTTTTAATAAACACCAGCATTCGCCCATCAGTCTCCATCAACTCCTGGCATCGTCTCATTCAACTCAACATGGTCCTTCTTGCAGGTGTTGCAGCTCTACTCTTTGCTGCGCCGTCTATTGCGACGGGAGCAGCCAAGAGCCTTTCAGGCGGAGAGAAAACTGCCTGCTCGAAGTTGAAGTCTGAATACCCCGACGGTACCTTCCTGCCTGGAACCTCGGGATACGCATATGAGACACAAGAGCGTATGTGGTCATACTCGGTGTCTCGCCCGATACCCGCTAACATGTCACAGCTTACTGGTCAGCCACCGTGTACAGCAGCCCTGCATGCGTCTTCGTCCCCCAAAATGCGCAGCAGGTTGCGTATGCGGTCACTACAATGACTTTGACACGGTCGAAGTTTGCCATGCGAGGTGGTGGACACATGCCGATACCAGGTTACAACGGAATCGATAACTCGGGTGTGCTAATGTCTTCATCCAATCTGACGACCTTATCACTTTCATCGGACAAGTCTATGGTTTCCGTCGGCCCCGGCAATCGATGGAGGGATGTATATGCCTATCTCAAACCATCTGGACTCGCAGCTGTCGGCGGTCGTGTGGGCCACGTGGGTGTTCCCGGTCTATTGCTTGGTGGCGGTATCTCTTTTTACTCTTCTGAATACGGCTTTGCTTCCGATAATGTCATGAAGTACCAGGTATGTTGACAAATTTCTGTGCAAGTTCTTATTACTTCTTCTAACAATGGCAGTGTGTGCTATCTAGCGGTCAGATCGTTGAAGCAACAGCGACGAACAAGTACTCTGACCTCTTCTGGGCATTGAGGGGCGGCGGAAACTCTTTCTGCATCGTCACAAGATTCGATCTGCGCCCAGTGGAGGGCAGCGACGTTCATGTCGGTATTGGCCAATTTGACCAGACTCAATCATCCGGCTACCTGGACGGTGTCTACAACTTCGGCAAATACGGAGGCTCTGACCCGAAAGCTGCCATCATTCCGACCATTCTTACCTTCCCCGCGGCGAACATGACTGTCTATGCGGCTGCGAAGTTTTACCACTCCGTCACAAACAACCCTGAAGTATTCGAAAACTTCACCGCGCCAAAGCTCACCCCAGTCGCCGATTCATACGCACTGCAACCTTTGTCAGACTACATTGCAGCTACAGACGCGCTCCAACCACTAGGATTGCGCCAGGAATTCCGCACCCTTTCGTCCGTCGTTGATCGCAAGGCTGTGCAGCTCATTCACGATGCCTTCATCTCCGGTGTCAATGCCAAACTGCCCAACGTTGCCAATCTTCAAGCTTCAATCACCTTCCAGCCCGTCACCAAGGCGTTCCTTTCACACAGCGCCAAGACTGGAGGCAATCCCCAAGGTGTCGATGTCTCCAAGGCGCCGTTCTTCTGGATGGTCGAGAACTTTACCTGGTCTTCTGCGAGCGATGACGCCAAGGTGCGCGCTGCTGCGGACGAGATTACGGCAAGCATCAACAGCATACTCCGTGCCAAATCATACAGCGCTCAGTACCTTTACATGAACGATGCAGGCAAGGGTCAGCCAATCTTCCAGAGCTACCCCGCTGCCAACTTGAGGAGGTTAAAGACTATTCGCACTAAATATGATCCTCTCCGGGTCTACACCAACTTGATGCCTGGTGGTTGGAAAGTTGCTGATGCTTGATCTATCGGTATAATACTTTGCTTAGACAATTACTTGCATTAGACGATGAATACATATCATACAGCCCCTACAGACTTCTGGTGTTCCTTTCGATGCGCTTGAAACTAGACTTGACAATAAGCAGTATAACACAAAAGCCATTCGCCGAAAACAATGGACCTCTTCCATCATGCCTTGGTTCGCAGTTCGGATGTTCGGTAAATCCATCGCACAAGCGTATCAACTGTGCCTCACCCTTGCCGAACCGATGAAAAGCTTGAACGCGAAGGAACGGCGCGAAGGAAGTGGCAACGTAACCGAGCCGTGTCCACCCAAGGAACCGGATCGGCCGCTGTAGAACCTTGTGAAGTCTCCTCGGACCTGGCCGAGACCAAGCCTCATACCGGAGTGACGACTCCAGTGGGATATCCCTAGTGACAGTTGGTTCGTGTACGCGTTTACATGTTCGAATCTGCTGATTTGCGAATGATTGCTGGGTGACAGATCCAGCTTGCAGCACGTACGCGCTGCGCGTGTCTTCTACCCCCACAACCCTCGCAATACAACCGGCGGCTCGCTTCACACAAATCGAGCGAGCCGGTCAGTGCAAGTTACATAAATGGCATCATAATCGGGGACGGCTTCGTTCTAGCCTTCATTCCCAGTTTTCTCGATTCCCAGATGCTCGGTTCATACTTCAACTATCAAATTACACGGGGGCAGGTTGAAGGGATTATTCCATAGTCTGGCCGCCACCTGCTTGAACTGTTGGCCTCCGATGTTTGAGCCGTCTTGACTGATTGTGATTGGGCTCACAATGGGTTTTCAACCCATGTAGAAACCAAACATTACTTACTAGCATGTAGTTTGCGGCGCGGTCGCCGCAGCTTCCTACAAGCCTCACGAGCTTTCTTAAGTATTAATGTGTCCCAAGAAGACGACCCAAGTTGGATTGACATCACACGTGTGGCTCATTCGATCAGGGATAATGGCAAACAACACGCTCAACTACACAGGCCTTATGGTAAGTCAAACTGAAGCACTGGTAGCATCGCTAACTCAAGGAAGGCTTTGATATGGAGTCTTTACGGCGTGTCATTCGTCTTAACAGCACTAAGAGGCTTCCTGCGATGGAAGTCTCAACGCAGACTTTTCGCTGACGATTACTTCGTCTTCTTCGGCTTACTCTCTCTGACGGCGCTCTCCGCTGTTATCACATGTCTACTACCGCAGTTCTTCTTGGCGCAGACATACATGACAGCGGCCATATCAGATCCGCTCACGCCTATGCCACTGCCTGCAGACGAGTTCGTCGAGAGAACGCGTACCTCACTGAAGTTCATGTTCAGCCAGATGCTGCTGTTTTGGACTACGCTTTGGGCTGGTGAGTCAGGCTGATCTATCCATCATTCGTGGAACTCCTTCTTACACTCTTAATTAGCCAAATTCTCGATCCTCTTCTTCTTCAGGCGTCTGGTGATAGGGCTACCGGCATACATGCGCGCTTGGTGGGTATGCTTTGTACTAGTACTGCTCCTATATCTGGCATCAATCGCCTCCAACTTCTTAACCTGCCGGCCGCTGTCCAAGTACTGGAGTGCAAGTAAGTACCTCCCACTCCCTAGTTTCCTCGTACCTTCTAACTCACGTAGCTGGATGTAGTGACCCGGAAGACCTCGTGCGAGCCGACGCCTCTATCAAGTTCGCAACCAGCGCCGACGTGGTTGCCGACGCCCTCATCATGCTCCTTCCTTTGAACTTGCTGCGCAAACTACAAGTTTCGCCTCAACAAAAGTTTGGACTTGCCGTCATTTTCTCGCTAGGTACCATCATCATCGCTTTCGCTTTCGCACGACTTGCGCAAGTCACCAAGGCCACTTCCAACCCCGATCCGGCTACACTTGCTGATGGCCCGGTACTACTTAGCATGTGGAGCCACATCGAGTCATCTGTCTCTGTCATAGTCGCTACGCTACCAGCATTCAGATACCTGCTCAATGGGAAGATGGGGCGAACGCGACCCGGTCCGTCTGCGCCGCCAGTATACGGTTCAGCAGAACCAGCGGCGTCGGGTCCACCAAGTAAAGTACGTCGTGTATTTAGTGGGAATAGATGGAGTCACAATACTGGTCTGAGATTACCAAGCAGTGAGCAAGGCAGGAAAGCAAGCAACGACTGGGGCAGTGAGACGGAATTGAGGCCAATGGCTGGTATCGAGAAACAAGTTGACTTCACTGTTGAGAGGGAGTTGGTGAGCTCGCAGAAATAGCTAGAGCGATAGTAAACTTTGCTGCTAGCAAAGAATCGATACGGCCTGATTTCAACACTCAACGATCCCGATCTTCATCCCTCCCCGGCCAAACAATCTGCTTCTTCCAAACCGCCCTCACACATCCCACAACCGTCACCAACCAGATTGCTACTAGCATAACAGTCATCACACTCGCCACCCAAAGTATAGCCTCGCTCTCCAACTCCCTTCCCAACACACTCGTACTAAGTGTAAACCCCACATTAGGAAAGATGAATGCCCACCATGTCAGACTAAACGGCATCCTCCCGACCACCCCAACGTTTCCTAGGAAAGCAATCGCAAACAACCAAAAACTAAACACATACAAGAAGATCCCCGTGAAGAGCGCTAAAACACGAAGGATTTCAGGCGCAGCAGGATGCTTCGCAAAGTAGCCCCCCTCCATCCCCTCCGGAACCGCATTCGCAAGACCGATCAACGCGACGATTGTATACGCCCCACTCCCCACCGGTATAAACAACGCAGGCCGTAACTGCGCTGGCGGAAACCCATTATCCAGTAAGTTGCGTACAAAACCGACTATGGCGATGAGACTAATACACCACCCAAACCCCTGATACGCAACCCCACTCACAACCACCATCACCGCTCTCCCATCCGTCTGACTCCCCGCCACAAGACTCGCCACCGTCCCCGTCAACATCGCCGAATACCCCGCTAGAAAAAGACTCGGCAGCGGCGGCGTCGGCTTCACCTTGCCCCACTGAATCACCACCCAATACTGGAACACGGAGTTTGCGAGCGAGCATGCGGCGTAAATCCAATACAACACGTAGACTGCGTCGATGAGCCAGCGGTAGCCGGGCCCGTGGGTGATGCCGTAGGTTTGGATGCCGGCGAGGATGACGCTGAGGGAGAGGTAGAAGGAGCCGAGGAAGAAGGATTCTTGGGGGTGGAGGAAGGAAGAGAGGAAGTGGGAAGTGTGGTAGAGGAAGCGGAGGGTTGTTAGGGTGGTGAGAGTGAGGAAGAGAGCGATGTTTAGGAGGAAGAGGGTTAGGCCGATTTGGTGGAGGCCTGGGGGTGGGTGTTAGCTTTGGTAGGAGCGATGGGATGATGGAGAGATGGCGTACCGGGGAATTGATGCGGTGTCTCTGCGATAGCGAGAGCAAGGCCGCCTGTACTCATTGTTGAGAGGAACCAGGCGAATGTGAAGTGTTTTAGGCGTGAGCGTATGCCGATTTTGGGGTCTGGTTGTTTGTGCTCTTGGTGGAGCATCTCTGGCTTTGACGACGGGGTCGTGTCGGATGTGTGTGGGGATGTAGACATATTTCAGTGACTCTTCGTGTTTATGCAGAGTGCTCTTGTCATGTGTTCCTGGCAGTTGCTGTCATGGCATGGTGGCTGATGTGGTGACGGTGATAAAAGGTATGCGGCAGATGAGACACCAAAAGCATCACAAAGCTCATCGCTAGCGATAAGTTTGCGCGCAGCGTACGATTATCCGTCGGTGTAGCTTCCGATAGGATGTGACCTTCTCCCCAAAGGTCATGATCGTGAGATGTCCAATGGAGAAGTTGCGGATCGGTGGTTGGGCATGACGCGCAGCGGCTCTGTTTCCGGTCGTCCTATTCCCGGAGCCGCACAAGCTTCCTCGCACATCAACCGGACGCAACTACATCTTCACTAGGAGCCTACTGACTAAATGCATCGAACTGTTTTCTTTCATTTATTAACATTACTCGCGAAAGTTTACGCCACCTGTTGAATCCTATCCTTCGCCTTATCCTTCTTCTCCTTCGCCTTCCACTTAATGTCCCCGGGCTGCGGCCACCTGTAGTTAACAGGCGACTCTCCACCCACGAAGATACACAAATCATACATCAAGCCACCACACAACGCGCCAGCAATAGATGCGCCCCAAGAACCATAGGCCCAGTATCCATTCTCAAAGGCCGAATCATATCCAACCCACAATCCGATGAGTCTTGGACCAAGATCGCGCGCTGGCGAGATACCCAGACCGGTGTTGTAGCCAAGCCCGATCATGGTGACGAAACCTGTAAGACCGACGACGAAAGCTGTCATGCCTTGACCTGGAGGCGAGTTCTGATCGTCTCCGAGTGCGAAGATGACGCAGACGAAGATAGCCATGTAGACGAAGTCGTTGAAGAAGCCGGTTGCGGTGGAGTATATGGGTCCTTGAGGGAATAGAGCCTTGCCGGTCATCTCCAGGGTAAGTCCGGGGTCTACTGCATGGATGGCGTCTGCGTAAAGACTATCACGAAGTTAGCAACTGAGGCATTTAAAAATCTGCAGATGATTTGACTTGCGCGTAAGCCACAGCGCCGGCGCAAAGTCCTGCCAGCAACTGCATAAAGATGTAGACGATTGCCATCTTCCAGGGAAAACCACGGTAGACGGATAGCGAGATTGAGATTGTCGGACTGAGATGGGAACCGCTGACACCACCGCCGAGGTAGATGCCGATCATGACTGCGAAGCCCCATCCCCAGGCTTGGGTCTCGAAGCTGCCGGTGCCTTCTTGAGAAGTGGCGACGGAAAGATTGACGCAAAGTCCGATGAGGAGGTATACGAACGTCTACACGGTATTAGCACGGTTCCCATCAGGATAGTGATCAGACATACGGCAAGGAACTCGGCAGGTGCCTGTGGGTACTTGGCTCGCAGCCTAGCGATTGGGTTGCGGTACTGGTTGTAGAACTCGCGTTCTGCCTCATGTTCTCGTTGCTGAATCTCTTTCTCTTCCTGCTTAGTCTGAGAAGACATATTCGTATCGTGTTCCTGGAGCGGTGGAAGACCGTCTTGCAAACCAAAGTGTTGCTGCTGCCCACGTCCATCAGAGAACTCCAAGCCGTGCTCGTTGACGGGCGCACGTTCCTGGCCTTCATGATGTTCGTGGCTGCGAGCGTTCGGTTCTTGGTTGCGGCCAAGCACCTGGTCAGCTTCACTTGTTGGCACGCGTTTCATGTTGACATTGCGGCCGTCGACTGTTGTCTGGAAATGCGAGGGATCACGTCGCTGGTGTGGGCGACCAACGCCGTCTAACGTCTCCTGAGAGTCTTCTGAATCTTCTTCCAAATCTGTCAACGTTCTAGTTAGAATGATTACTTTTGAGGGAGATCACATCAAGGGAGTATATGAAGACTTACCTTTACCCTCATGGAAGCCTAAGCCATCTTGTCGAGCAATGCCATCTGCCTCCCCTTCATCGACCCGGTACAAAGACTTGCGCAGGTCGCCTCTTCCCCACCACATACCCTTACGTACAGTGCGTGGCAAAGGCGCGCCCAAACCGAAGACTGGTTTTGACTTTTGCTCATTGTACCAAGGGTTCAGTGAGAAATAGTCGTTCTCCACGTCTACAGTCTGCTGTTGCTTCTTCTCAGGTCGTCGTGGCGGCTCTTGCCGGACATTCTCACGAGTTGCACGGCTCTTTCGGGCAGTGGGCGTGTTTCTGATGGTGCCCATTTGGGTCATACCAGTTGCAGTAGTGTTGGCGCGCTCATTCTCGGGTCGTGACTCCAAACGGGCAGTGTCAAGTCTCCCTATACTTGGTGCATTGGAACGACTTTGTGCCAACCCCGATGGCATGCGCGTTGCCGAGGGTTGCTGTCGTGGCTCAGGCGTTGCTGCAGGTCTTTGGGATGTAAAGTAATCTGACTGCTGCCCTGTGGAAGGTTAGTACATGTATCTCTTGATGCCAACGAGAAAGAAGCTCTGCTGGCTTTTCGGAAGGAAACTCGAGCTCGTTGAATAACTTACTGTTGTCAGCTTTGTTCGGCTGTTGTTGCGACATGTTGTATGCTCGTTTCTTCCTACGTCTCAAGGCAAGCAGACCCTGACAACCTTATATCTGATATGTACTGGACGTGGGAGTAAAACAGGGGCGTGGGAGGTGCCAAGTGTACAACATGGTGAAAAAGTAGTCCCGCGATTAAGCCATGGGAAAGTGAAGAATTCCATGCAAAACGTCATTTGCAGGGAAGCTTTTGCCTAGTACGCCCACGTCCCCATTATTTCGGGGAGACTCTTGGTGACGCGGAATCACACATTCCAATCATTTGGACGGGTTTTCATGTTGAGTGGGTGCGTACCGTTTCGGGAACTCAGCTTTAGTGGGCATGCCCTGATAAGAAGGGTTCCATCGCGATCCTCAGGGTTGCGGCAAAGTGTGGCGTCGTGCGGATCGTGAGGTTGCTGAACATCGGCATCTTTACTGTGGGTCGCATGCGCGTTCCGCGGAGCTGAAGCCTTTGTCGTCGACATAATCGGAGCGACAGATTGACATTATGGTGTCTTGTGAACGAAAGAGTCGTCAAAAGTCTCCTCGGAAAGTGTAAGAGGCACTGATGCAGGAACCGCGTAGGGAATGTTTAGGTGCAGATCATCCGAGAGCCTCGAGAACAGCCTCGACCAATAAGCACAACAACGCTCAAGAGGCCGCAACGACCGGCAGCGGCGATGCCGACTCATGGCCTACCCAGACAATCACACAAGCCACACTTCTCTGACAGAAAGTTCGGGACCAGAGCCGATGGTACACCACGATCATGCAGGTGAAGACGCACTATTGCATCGTAATGTGGAGACTCGGCCAAGATTTCTACGTTTGCCCGATGATTTCCCTGCGACATTACCGTCCCTGGAGGACTGCATTGCAGTATTTACACATGCACCATCCATGCACTGAAGAGCGCCCCAGTGTCTGCGTAAGCTCCCGCCGCCGCGGTGTGATAGTACAATGTTGAGCCCGATCCCGAGGTCCGAACATTCGCATGGTGGGTCGATGGGCAGCCTTTGGCAGATCCCACACCCCACGCTCAACAGCTTCCAAGTATCTATGCAGTGACTTCTATCTACGTCCTCACGACACTGCCATCAGCTTGTTCTGCTCCTGGGCCAACGTCAGGCCTTCCGGTGCTTGTCGGAATAGCACGATCTCGGATTGCTTGAAGTAGCGGCGGGCGTCTGGATACAGGTCAGTCACAGCTGCGTGAAGATGTGCGTATGTCATACCTTCGTCGATGAGTACTAGACTCAAGTAGTATCGGGTGGAGTACTTCTTGTTGACTTCGCGGAAGGTGGGTGTCAGGTCGAAGCCTCCGAGGAACAACCTGATGGGGATTGTTTCACCTTGACGTCGTCAGTAATGCCTGTCGCAAAAGAGTCATCGTGCTTACCTCGCGACGGTGAGCCGTCCATGATCTCGAAGCGCACCAGGGTCTCGCTCTCGTTGTACTGGTTGGGCGCAGCCCCCGTTGTCTCTCTTCTTATGATGGACAACTCCATGTGCTTGATCTTTAACCGTACCAATAAGAAGTATATCCTACCCACGATGACGTCCTTCAGGTGGTATTTCGATTTCGAGTACTCGAACTCAATGTGCAGGCAGTCTTCGATACCGACGTCCATCTTAATGGAGCTGTTGGTCTCAGGCGGTATCCGGTAGGAGTAGACCCAGAGGTCCTTCTCTCTGACTACGTCTGCCATTCTCCGCGATACGGTGACGCGCACAAAGTAGCGCAGCTTGACGTTGATGCCATTGTAGGATTCGTATTGCTTCTCGACGTTTTTGAAGTTGAAGTCGAACGTCTGCGGGTGCTGGAGCTCGCCGGGGGCTGCTAGCTCTTGGCCAAGGGAGAGGAACTCGTAGTGGTTTCCGCGGTCGAAGAACATCTCTGGCGCATTATGTCAGCACTGCGCGCCGAGATATAGCTATGGTGAAGCTCCGGGACGGCGGATGCCTACCAATGGTGCCGATGAATTGCACCTTGATGCCCGTGTGCTCGAGGCGCTTGCCATCCTTGGGCCTGACGGTGACCTGGCCCTTGACTGATTCGCCATCCAGGTACAGCGGGACCTTCTCTTTGCGGTTCTTGTCGAGCTTGACATCAACGGCGGAGCGGTCGTCGAGGTCCTCGAGCACGATGTCGATGTCGACCGGGGTGGAGAAGAAGTACGACATGCCGGGCCAGAGAAGTGCCGGTGGATTGGCGCGTGTTCGGAAGCGGTATCAGAGGCACTCGTCGCGTCGGTGGTCGGCGGCGCTCGACTGGATGGCCGTGGTGTGGAGAGCTGCGCCCCAGATCCATGGCAACAGCTGATGACGCTTGTCCCCGTTGAGACCATCACGTGAGCGCATCCTGCCCCGCCTTCCCCGATCCCTCACCAACACCACCTCGTCATGTTCACCCCCAGGTATCCTTGTTTTACTCTTCACTGGGTCCACGTCACGTCTGACTGCTGCTCTCGTCGGGTCAGATGGTCCTCCACATGCCCCTCCCGAGCCTGCGGAGATAGGCACCTGCATACGAAACAGCAAATATGCACTCGTTTGGCGGTGAGCTGCACACGAGCAGCTGCAATATCGCGGCGTCGTGACTGATCGGGACTGTCTGCACGTCTGGCTCAAACGTTCTCACCCGTCTGGACTATCCGGAGCATCTGCCGGATGCCGCCCCAAAGACTAATCGACTAATCGCAACTCAAAGACTGTTCGCAGCCTCGATCCTCACCGGCCCGATGCACTTTGAGATTCCTCGCCTAACCCCCACGCGCCATTATCAAACAGCTTCGTACCGCGAGTCAAAGCGGTGAGCTGAAGTCCATTGCTTCCAGGCAGATGCTCAGTCGAATCGCAATTTACTCAGCAGAGCGCCCTGCAGTTGCCTGGCGTTCAGAACTCAAGTCTGCGCTGGCATGTCGTGGTCACCGGCATGCGGGATGCATAAGTACCTGAGAAGGACTGGGGTCCTCATGCGGGGAGACTGATGCGCTACTCGTCATCCCACACGCGACAGGTCCACTTTCAAACGCCGAAGTTCTCTCTCTCCAGCCCCGGCTTCGCGGCTGTTACAGCCGGCTGGGCCTGTTACTGAAACTAGCTACACGCCCTTGCTCGCCATTCGCTGTTTGCTTTTCGGAGCGTGCCATCGTGGCTTGGCTCCCAGAATAACGACAAGCTCCATCGCATTTCACCCTTGCCGTTGCCGTCATGGCTTGCGGGAGAAATTTCCAGACCAGTATTCCAAGGTCCCACGCCTTAAAACGCACCGCGCCCCAGCGCGAATCGGGGCGCCGTTGATTGCTTACAGTCTGCATACACTTATATTTGGTCCCGACCATATCGCAATATACTATATTAACCCTACCCGACACCCGTCCCTTTGTTTTCGGGAGCCCAACTCAAGCATTAGCGTCATACAAGAGCCTCACGTACTACAAACACTCATTTCCACAACAGTTTGACTCAAACTCCAAACTTTGTACCACCATGATGCAAACCGTCGATCTATCGCAGCCAAAGCCCATACAATATGCATCACCACCTACACCACCGGCTTCCAATACAGGCTCGCCATCCAAGTCCATGGCTGTCATGAACGAGACCGAGACCGCCAAAATGACCATTTCAACCCACCACCACATCCTCATCGTCACCGGTCCAGCAGGGTGCGGCAAGAGCACTGTTGCAAAGCACCTCTCAGACCGATATGGATTTGACTACATCGAGGGCGACGAGGTTAGCCATTCGCTTGTGATTTATCTAACGCATACTGACGTCTTCGCAGTTCCACCCAAAAGCAAACATCGACAAGATGGCCGCCGGCATTCCTCTCAACGACGAAGATCGCTGGGACTGGCTCATCCTTCTACGAGACCAAGCCATCACTGCACTGAAGAACGGAGCCAAAGGCGTCGTCGTTACCTGCAGTGCGCTCAAGAAGAAGTACCGCGACGTCATCCGCACAGCCCGCCTCTACGACGAGGACCCAAACGCCAACGTACACTTCGTCTACCTCCGCTCTGACATGGAGACCCTCCTCGCCCGCGTCCGCGCCAGACAAGGCCACTACATGAAGGACGCCATGGTCGAGAGCCAGTTCGCTGCGCTGGAAGAGCCCGACGAGACAGAGTGCAAGCAACTGAAGGATGTGGAGATCATCGATGTCAAGGGCAGCATACAAGACGTTCAGCTACTAGCCGGTGCTGCTGTCGACAAGGTTCTTGCGCAATAGCACAACGCTCGTAGTGTCAGCTGGCTCTGATCTCACCTTTCGTTACGTCTTTTACTTTTCTGCTCGGTGTTGGGCGAGTTCGCAGGAACGCTATGCGTGGGTTGTGACTCCTTGGTTTACTTAGTTACGGCGTTCTATCTATATCACTATACCCTCGCGAGACGGGACAGCATACATGGTTCGCGGAATTGAACAGTTTTCACTTCATCGTAGCAACATGCAAATTTCTTGATCCTTTGACATGGGTTGGCGTACTATCATCGCCCACATGAACCATCGTGCTACCATTGCCGATCTTTTCTCCTGCATCCCGCGAAACCGGTCGGAAAGATCTTCCTCTTCCTAATGTTTCTCGATTACTTAGTGCCCGTTTTTCCACGTGTGCGTGCGATCGAATCTCCGTCGTGTGCGGATCTACCTCCTAACCCCGCTCTTCGTTACCAGCAAAGGGTGCATGATGGCCCGCGGCCTATGCGGCTTGAACCACCTCACGACGATGACTAGATTTCCACTACGTTAATGACTGTATCCAGTCCAGACAGCTAGGACTTTCTTTCGCGGCCTCATCTTATATAGGAAAAATGTCGAACAGGCCTAGAGCCTACATCGATGTTAGATTGCCTACATTGCATTTTGGGAATAGTGCAGTGGTGTTGAGGACCTGAAAGAAGGGTACTACCATCTAGCATCGTCTCTCTCATTTTCCCACCACATATTGTCTTCACCTATGCCCTAGACGGTTTGTATAGCACCTGCCGTTGCGTTCTCGTCGTATGTGTATGCTCGTGCAGTAGGCAGGTATGCTCGTAGTTCGTGCAGCGGGTGCAGTGGAAGACGGTCGCAGCTGCAGCGAGTGCAATGCCGTAGAAGCGGATGCGAGGTTTAAAGTTACGTATGGAGTAGCTGCAGTGGCAATCTTCACTTTTACTCAAAAGTCGCTCGCGGTGTGTCGAGAGGGCAGAAGGCACGGAAATGCGAAATGTAGAAGGCGGCGGAACGGAAATGAGCAGCGACCTTGCGAGTGCGACGACGATGCAGAAAAGAGCAGGAATTGTGCGAGTGCAACGACAGTACGATTTTGTGAACATCGTGTTAGATCTATCTATCACATTCTCCTATTCTTCCTTTGATCTTGGCGCAATTCTTACGTAGAAGTCGCTTCTTATGCTGAGGAAGTTAGGACTAGGCTACTGAAGATAGGGATCGCTGTGCAGTTGGATCTATATAATTGCATTTACTCTTGTTTTGCGACCTTGTGATACTGCTAGAAGGCTGTGATTGGCTTGAAGACCTCTCTGATGAGACCTTTATTTGCTCATATGCTCATCTTCACATAATTGCATTCCAATTACGCTTTTGTACTCTACGACGTCATTGAGAGTAGCTACAACCCGTGTCACGTTTTGCAGCATATATGCTACTTATCTTGGATGAGTGGGTAGGCTTCGATGTAATGTATCCTCCCAGCTAGGCAATATTCTGGATCAAATTTGGGTAATGCAATCGAAATGACACCTATCCCAGTGCAGATTCTCTACCCAAACATCAGATGGCCTGACCAACCCATTGCTCCCACGCCTCCACCCCAGCATCCACATCCAAAATACCCATATAGTCATGCGTCCTCTTCAACACAGCCCTACTCACCATCACCCCCGTCGTCGCCGTCCTCCCCAAAAGATCCTCCTGCCGACTCCTCACAAAGCAAAACTGCGGCAGATAATGCTGCGAATTGACCTCACGACCGTTGTCCAGCTCGATAGCATTGCTTTTCCGCAAGAGCGGACCCAAGTGCCCCACAATAAGTGTTTCGAGGGCGAAATCAGGGTTAACGGTGTAGAGTTCGCCGAAGAGCAGGTTTGCGAACTTTTGCACTTGTAGCGAGATCATGGATGTGTTCCAGCGGTTGCCGTATCCGTTGCCGAGGCCGCCGACTAGGGAGATGGAAGAGCGGTGGGTGTGTAGGGTACGGAGTTTGGGGAGGCGGCGGAGGGAGTCCTGTGAGGGATTAGTATGCATTATGGCGAGTTTATGGGGTGGTAAGGCTTACTACGAAGTCTCTCAGGTTATGGTACCACAGCCCATCTGCCATTATAAATTCCTCGTCGATCCCGGCGGCGAATTGTTCTAGGTTGGGACATAATCGGCAAATAAGATCGAACTCTCCAGCGTCGATTATCTCGGTTTTGGAGTATAGACTCAGACTCGTGAGCTCCTTGCCTCTACTTTGTAGGTACTGTCTCAATCCTGGTGGTAAAGCTTCGAGATCGTAATGACCAAAGTGCAGACTGCGCAGGTTTGGACATGCTTTCAAGAAGTTGACCAAATGTATGTTGCGCTCGTCTTCAGTTTTGATGATGCCAATTCGAGGCACAAATTCGTTCAAGGCAAGGTGCGTAAGATCGAACTGCTGGTTTGGCATCGCATCTGTCATATCCGATAGGAGTTTGAAGCATCCGGTGCATTCTACTAGGTCGAGCTTTTGCAGCTTGCTGAAATCGATGATCGTCGATAGGGAGTTGTACATGTGCTTCAATGTCAAGCCAGTCAACCTGAGTTCTTTCAGTGGGAGTTTGGGCTGATATGGTGACCATTCGTGGGTCCGAAGCAGCTTGGACACGTCAGTGTTAACGTTGGCGCTCAAAGACAGGGATTGCAGGTTTCTTCCGACGGCTTCAACGTAGTCGAGTAATTGGCCGTTGAGTGACGACCCATCGACGATATACATGTCCAGTCGTATCAAATCCTTTTCGCGTTGACACAGTTCTGGTAGTATGTATATAGAGTTGTCGAAGAGACCCATAGTAAGACTGACTTGGAGGTCTGTGATATTTCTCTGGTTCGATGCGAGCTTCTTATGCAGCCACCACGGAAATGATCGTCGACCGAGGAAACTGTAGATGTTAGCAGGCAACACAAGACGAGATGAGTAGCTTCAGCCCTACCGGAATGTGCGCAGGGCATTCGCCGGGATGAGATCCAAGACCTGCTCAAGATTGCTGTCGCGTACTTCAGGATCTGCTTTCGTGGCGCCAGAACCCGTCCAACATTCAAGGCCAGGTAGTCCAACGTTGCCGTACTGCACAGACGTGGTTTCCTCGGCGATGCACTCATCTTCTACGACGAGTTCTCTGGTATACTGGAGGTTCCCTTTTACGTCCTTGAGTAGCTCAAGGATGTAGTTAGTGTTGTTTTCGCTGAAGAGGCGAATGTCGATGCGCTCGTAAAGCTTTTCGAGGGCGAGTTGGTTGAGCTCTTTTGACACCAAACATAGTGATTTCAGATCACTTCGGGTATTTATCTGGTTTCGTCAGTACCTCATTGCTGGGGATAAGGCGGGTAACATGCGAAGTTGAGCACTCGTCTCTGGCAGTCGGTGTTAAGTTGCAACATTGTCTTTGCAGCTCATAGAATCGCGATGGCTAGAACCAAAGGTAAGTTGGTCGGTGGCCTGTTTCAATACACTTGGTGCACAAGAGGGGTTGTCGCCATAACCCTTGCAGTATGCATCTAGACGCCGCGGAGCCAAAAGGATTGCATCCACCCTTGCTAGACCTGCATCCAATGCTATCGTGTCAGCGCTCGATTGACTCTCGAATAAAGAACATACGTTAGCGCTATGTATGCATCCTCAGGCAATGCGCGTCGTTGCGGCATGTGGGAAGCTACCGTGAAAAAACGACGAGTCGCATCGGCTGCTGAAGCCGATAAAGTCAGCGTTTGGTTCTTGCCCCAATGAGGAAGTTCCTTGTGGCTAGTTCAGGTTAAGCCTGCTTCGCAACATTTTACGCGAAGCGCTCTGGGAACTGCATATTGGACCCGAACTTATCGTACTAGAACCGAACAAGTCGAGCCAATCGAACAGTGGACATCTGATGGGAACTGCATACCATGATTCCAGATGCAATGCCTACGCTGCACTAGGGGTGGCTAGAATGCGCTTTGTATTCGCTACATATATTCCATCAAATGTTTATACACACACAGCACCTAAGACGCTGTATGCTTCGGGCTAAAAGATCTTTTTGATGACGTTCTCCCTCGACCCAAATCCTCACATCGTTCGAGTTGCCCACGCCTCCCATTCATCGGCGGCAGTACGGTAGTCGACTTCCAGAATATCTGTGTACGGTTGCGTTTCACGCAACATCATCCTCGTAACAGGAACCGCAACGGGGACGGTACGACCTAGGATATCTCTTTGCTCGCCTCGGAGAAAGCATTGCTGCGGAAGTGGACGCACGAGGTCTAGGTTTTCTGGGTTCCGCAAAGTCGCAACATGACCGATCACCAGAGCATCCAACTTCGATTCTGGACCTAGAAACTCAAAGACTCGGTTTGCGAAGGTTTGCAGCTGTAGGATCAATAGTGCGGGGTCCCACCCGTGTTTGCTCTGCCCCATGCGAACGCAGTGTGGCACGCGGAGGTGGAGCAAGCGTACTTCTCGGAAATACCCTATCCAAGTCTGATAGATGTTAGATATTATGCTCAAGATCCGCCACCACCTCATACAAGGAAGGAACTTAATGGATCTGCAGCCTAAAGCACGATGCAAACGTGCAAATTAAGCGAACTAACGTCTACGCAGACTCCAGCGTGTTTTGTGGTCTCCTTGAACGAGGTGCCGCTCTGAATGCGATAGCTTCCACTTACCATAAAGATCATAAATCTGGCCTCTTCATTCCATAGGCCGTCAAGCATCAATGCTTCCTCGAAGTACACCGCGAGCTGTTTTACTTGTCGAAAGGATTCCTGGCTTACCCGGTACAGCACATCTATAACGTCGTGGTTTAATTGGCCCCAGTTCCATTGTTCGACGTGGTAGCTCAGACTTTGCAAATTGTGCCCGCGATCAGTGAACGGCTTTAGGAAGTCGTACACATCAAAGTCGGATGAGTGGTCGCCGTGCGGGTAGTGTATATGGAAGCTCTCAAGGGGTTCGCAGGCCTTGTATATCTGATTCAAGGATAATCGCAGAGGAACGAGCTCAGTGGATTCCGCGATGTCACCCGCAATTTCCACAGCAATATGCTTCAAACGAAGCTTGTTCTCCTCGCTACTTTCGGCAAGCTCCTGGAGAAAGTAATGGGTTCCGCCGGAGTTCCCGAAAAGCCCTAATCGCACAAGCTGATGATAGTTGACAATTATAGAGAACTGTTCGTAAGCGTTGTCATAGATAAAATTGGACAGCGTGAACTCTTCGAGCTTGGGTGTGCATTGGGTGTATTCGTTCTCCTCGCCCATTGCCCAGGCATCCAGTTCCGTACTGATATCCATGGAATTGGCTGCTGTCAGCGACAACGATTTCAAGTTGGCGCCCACGGCTTCGATGTTCATGTACAACAGAATGAGGCTTGTTGAATTATCGACATAAAGATCGAGGCGTTGCAGACCACAGAGTATCTGGGGTAGTACGTCGGGCGATCCGGGATCGGTATATAAGCCTATTCGTAGGTCTTGTATTTTCGTCTGGTAGTGGCGCAGATGATTTCTAACCACTGCCGAGAGAGGCCGCCGCGAATGGTACCTGATCTCATCAGCATCCACATCGAATGCTAGCGCATTCAGTTATTAACTTACCATAAGCGTTCTAATTGGTTATGATGCATGGTTTGCAGAAACGCGTAGGCGGCGTTGTCTTTCTCAGACTCAGTTAGGTAAGTAGCATTACTCCGACGATCCAGAATAGGTGGACAGATCCGTCCGGTATGTATCGTGTAGAGTTCTTCGCCAATCGCTTCGTCTTCGATGATAACTTCCTTCGTGTGCTGGTAATGTAAGCCAGCGCCTGCGAAATTGGACTTGTTGAGACGATCGACCGCACGCCGACTCCATAGGCGCAGAACGATGCGCCTATATAGAAGCGGATTCGCGAGAACACGCAGAGCTGAGCATGTCCTACACAGTGATGCGAGATCGCTCTTCAGATTTATCTGACCCAATCAGTACGTGTTTTGAAGCCAGCATGCGCACTACAGTAGCGTACGTGATCAACAATTCTTAGTTGGAGCTCTGTCGGAATCCCTAGGAGATTGGGTGGATATGTGGGTGGCTGTCCCGAGATGTCCATCGGGTCTGTAGACATCTTGAAGCGTAGAGGTTACACAAGGAAAGGGAAGTCTGGGTGTTGTGTGGAAGCGCGTCGAATTCACGGAGGGTGTGCGACGCGACACCGGTAGCGGGGCATGGCTGACATCAGTATTGCCGAAGTTTCACCGAAGGCGGTGGCACGGTAATGACCCTTTCTTCTGGGCTTCGCTCTCGAACTTAAAGCCTTATCGCAAGCGACTTTGGGCATATACATTGGTGGATTGTTAAGTCGATAACGGTGGTTGTGATGTACTCTCGCGCATGATCAAGAAATCCGCCCCCTCGGGGATGCACCTTCTGCCTTGCGGCGCTCTGACGTACAATTGTTCCACTTCCCAGAGCCTGGGTTCCCTGCAAACTCCAAAACTGATATCAGAACGGGCTGGGACCCACGGAGTAGTTATAGTGCTCGAGAGGGAATAATTATCGCGTTTCTTATGCACCTCATGTTTTATGAATAACAGCGTTATGGGGTATCTTAGATCCAAAAAAATCAAGTCTTGAACAGGTAACAGCCCTCTACCAGGTGTCTCAAAGGTCGTAATCGAAGTATGCACCTCATATCTGATAGCTAATCGAGTTGCTGATAGTGGAGGCCGTGGATGTGTCTGCAACGTTGCTTCCTAGATAGGTGGGCGTTGTCTGGTACCCCGGAATAGATCAAAGAATACCCAGGTAGATACCTTCCCAGGCTGTGTTTGCGCTCGTGTCGCTATGTTTCGATTGCGACGATTTCAAGTGGTACTTTGAGCAAGAATGGATGCCTGGTATCTTCCTGCACATATACTAAAGTTCGGGTTTAAATAAATTTCTCTACGACGTGAACCCACTCGACTTTCAAGACACCTAGCAGAGGGCTGTTAATTGTTTGAGACTTCTTTTTAGATTTGAGATACACCAGTAACGCTGTTACTACAAAACCGTGAAGCCACCAAGATGTCGCGCAGTCCAAAAAAAGAATCCCGTGTTGCAGCCTTCCCTACAGCACCCCACACAAGAAACTTCAATAACCACATACCTTCCACGCCCCTACGCCACTGCCTCCCTTCCCCCATTCACTCCCACCCCCGTGCAAAAAAAGTGCAAAAAAGAAGATTCACAACATCTAGCTGCTCTCGGTTTCGATCCGAGGTCCTCCGGGTTATGAGCCCGGCGCGCTTCCGCTGCGCCAAGCAGCTTTTGTGGTTGCTGATTGATGGAGTTTTGTTGCCATGCAATATCTATCACGTTGGTCAAATGCAGGACGAAAAAGGGCGTTGATGCGTCGTGCGCGAAAAATGGAAGTGGGGTGAGTGTGACAAGCGAGGATTCATTGGGCGACGATGCTGGAACAATGAAATGGCTAATCGGGTGGAGTGGGTTCGTAAGGGGGGCTATGGGAAAAGTCTGATAGGCGTGGATGGGGACGTGAGTCATCCGATGTCTGGAGACTTGGATGGAACTCCAATGCCCTAAGAAGGTTGAACATGAACATGAACTTAGTATTTCCAAGGTATCCAAAGGACGATTGTTATAGTAAAACACGATACGCAAACTCACAAAAGGCCATAGTTGACGTAAGATGGCAAATTTCACAACTTGATCAAACCCACAGAAGAAAACCATCTCCCAAGACCAACAGGCCAAACTTTCATTACTCCAGCTAAAAAACAACCTTGGTATCCTAACGCAAACGCCCATTATCTATATCACACAGCGACAAATCCAACACAACCCCAACCTCTCCCATGATCCCCAGCTCATCCACCTCAAACCCCCCTCGCCTCACACAAATGCCCACTCTTACTCAACACCGTCCCCAACCCCCTATGCACCTCAACCTGAAACCCCTCAAACGGCACCCTCTCCCCATCAATACTAATATACCCCTCCTTTTGCCCTTTCGGAATAATCCTATACGCACTAACCTTCTGGTAATCCACATGGTCCATATCAAAGAAAGAGTGGTTCTCCACGGCCAGCAGCGTCTTCACAGCCGTGTGCCGCGCGATATCGCCGCGGATACGGACGAGGTCGAGACACCCGTCGGAGGGGAGAGAGGCAGGGAAGAAATTTGCGTCGGGAGACATGTAGGCGATGTTTCCGGCGTAGAAGTTGCCGAGGTGGTCGTGGGGGATTAGTTGCCAGCCTGGGGGGAGGGGGTCGGTCGCTGTGCCGTATTTCAGCTCTGGGAGACCTGTTTCGGGGGTGGGGAGGACGCGGTTGTCGGTGCTGCGAGGTGGTTTTGCGCATTCGGTGCGGTAGGCTTCGCGGACGGCGGTTTTGTTGTCGTACTCGACTTTTACGGCGATGTCGGCGGGGTAGCATGTTTTCTTGAAGAGGCGGACGAGGAAACCCCAGGTGAAGCGTGCGCTGCCCATCCAGCGCAGGTGTTCTGTCGCGAGGTCTGTTTCGGCTACTATGCCGACGGACTGGGAGAGGAAGGAGAGGGTGCGGCGGTCGCCTTGGGTTATCGAGGAGAGATCGAGCGGGGTGCGCAGGCCCTTGACGACGGCGAGGGCGGCGAGACTGGGGTCGTCGGTGCCGTTGAAGTTGAGGCTCATGGCGTTGCCTGAGCCGCAGGGGAGCTGTGCGACGGCTACTTTTTGGAGCGCCCGAGCTGCGTCGGTCCTCTTGCCCAGGCCGTTCCAGACTTCGTGTGGTATGCCGTCTCCAGAGCAGCAGGCGACTACGTCGTATGCCTCGATGTCCATGTTCTGCGCAATCTCGACGCCGTGGCCGTTGTGCTGTGTCTTCTCTACGTCGAGCTCACAGCGCGCAGCCGCCAGGATGGGCGCAATGAACTTGTGGTATGTCTTGACTGCGCCGCCCTGGCCTCCAAACGGATTGACGAGCACCTTGATCCGTTTGCGCCGTTGCGACGCTCCGTATGCGCGATCGAGTAGCTTCTCTATCCATGCCTCCGTTATGCGACTGTCCGGTTTGTCGAGGGAGTAGCTGATGATGGCAGGGCGAACGGCCTTCTTCGATGTGTTCTGCGCATACTGGACGGTGATATGTCCATCCTCTGAATGCTCGGCCCAGAGGATGTTGTAAAAGGGTATGGAACGAGTGGATTTGTTCTCTGCGTCGCGTAAGCGCGTGTTGGTGTCTAGACGCGGTATTAGCACTTACTGCCAGCAAGAGACAGACCGCAGCAGCTGGCGCTTTTGCTATCTAGGAGTGCTTCGTCTGTGCCGTGTGAGTGTTGCGCCGCTGTGATGTTCGAGTAGTCTCCCCACCTAGTACGACCAAGGAGTCGGTCCCGAGGGTCAGGGAGGCGTTTCTGCCCACAGCGAGTGTGTCGGGAACATTCATCTGCTCCTGGGTGGGTGCCGAGTCGGGCGACGGCTGCGAAGGAGCGGCGTTGGTAGTGAGCAGAGGGTCTCTGAAGGGATCGTCGGAGCCAGCCAGCGAAGCCATGATGGATTAATGAAATGTCGCAGGAACGACGCGCAGCATGCTGTGAAGAGGGAAAGAGTCAGTTGGAGACTAGACCAGCGTAAGAGGCACGCTGACGACGGTCATGTCACGCTCACGGGTACCGTCCCTGTCGCAAGGGCGCGGATCCTGGCGGATAGTTGGTGCTAAACAAAAAGGAAACATTCCCGTGTTGCCCGTTGGACCCTGCACGCTCGCGAACCGAGGCATCCCAATCACGAACCAACCCAGAACCTGACACGAAGCGATTCTTCCTGTAGTGCTCAGAGACTGTGATATTGAATGTGAATTTGAACTCTGATGTCTTTGATACGGCAATGCTACATTAACATTGATCCATCCCACCCACATGTCTATCGACCCAACGCGTCGTACGCGAAGACCTGTAGACGAAAGAAGCAACCAACCTTCCTTTTGCTACCGTTTCTTAGTAGGAACGCCCATCTCCCACTACCCCGGACGTGTGACAGTGCTTATTAGCCGACAAATCATGCCACACCGACCTTGTTCAGACCCTTCAACGACCCCAGGCTCAGCGCCAAGCCTTGGGAGCGACTTCTTATGCGCACAAACCCAGTAATAGGGCCATTGTCACCTTCCTTTTCGATACTCAAGTTGGCGAGAGCATCCTCGCCTGCTTTCTGTCAGTATTGCCAATGTATAAAAGAATATGAGGACTTACCAAATACACTCCTGGCATACAAGTTCGCTGACAGGAACTGGCAGTCGCCCTTCATCGACGCCTCTGGAGTCAAGCAGCTCATGTTTGTGCACGCCATGAGTTGCTTCAAGAAATCGCGCAACGTCTTGGCCTTGGAGTTGATGTTGACCTTGTTCTCCCATTCGAACTCGGTCCACATTGTCCGGAATTGCGTCTCAGTGCATTGCGCGGGCTTGATGTAGTCCATAATGTCGACGTGGACATCGTTGAGAATGACAACGTTGGAGTCAACACCCTTTTCACTGTAGGGTATTAGCAATTGTTGCAGGGTGTTGATGCGCAGGACTTACCCCTCGTAGATGATGTTTCCAAAGATCACACCGGTATCGGTGGATGAGACTGCGGAAGTAAGCGTGTGAACTTAAAAGCAAGTAAGCAAAGACCTACCCTTGATCGTTGCCTGAATGTTGATAAAGTCGTGGGGACCAACGTTTTGTGTTGAAGGGCGCTCGACGACCTTAAGATCACCAAGAGTTGCGAATTCGATGGTGAGATTTTGTAACGTCTCAGTTGTTTGGTTCACGAGCAGGACATCGAGGACAATATCGAATTGATGGACCTAGCGGAGTTAGTAGACATCTTCAATAAGTCGGGCTAACGTACCTTGACATAGGCCTCGGCGTATACCGAGTCGGAGAAACCAGTAAGTTGCACGACTCGGCTGAGCTTAGATGTGAGATCCTCAGTCGCAGTGTCGCCTCCGGTTGCCCTCTCGAGATCTTGCTCGATCTCATCGCTGCCATCCGCGTCCTTCTTCTTCAGCTGGCGGATGTTGAAAGAGTCGTCAACATTGACAGCCGACTTCGCGCGTTCCGAAGCCTCCTTGGCGGCGCGCTTCTTCTCCTCTGTCTGGACCATAGTGCGGAAAGACTTTCGGGTATCTTCCAAGAATACAGTCTCGAGCTCCTTTCTTTGCGAGAACTCGGACAGCGAGCGAACACATGACATGATACGGTCGATGGAGTCCTCGTCGATGAAAGTCTTGACAAAGTGCGATTGGCCAACGCGAATAATCGAGATCATGATGAGCATGGCCTCAGCGCGGAGGGCGTTTGTGCGGGCTTCGTTCTTTGAGATCTCTCCATAGCGCATGACGAGTTTGGTGAGAGTGCTGGACAGTACTGTGGCAAGGTAGTAGTCGCCGTCGAGTAGGAGCTGACGTAGTGGGGGCTTCTGTGAGTTCTTGACTGCTTCCAGTTTCGCTTTGGCGGCAGCGGATGAAGTCAGGGCGCTTTCAGTCGCATAGGTACCGTCAGCGAGGACCTTCCTTGACCCAGATGGAGCTGCCGCCTTTGCATGTCCGTTGACTTGCTCACTGCTGCTCTCCTTGCCCTCCGAAGCATCGTCCAAAAGTTTTTGCTCGGAAGCAAGTATGGGGATTTCGCCGAGCGATGAGCGGATGCCCTTCCACGCATCTTGGATGTCCTTCGCCTCCAGCGAGAACTCTCCGATGATCCAGAGAACACCCCGGTAAACCTTGCCAGCACGTACTTCACCAAGAGTCGAAACCAGTCGCTCGATGATAGAGGCCCTCAGATCTGGGAAGCGCTCAACGACTTCCTTGACGAAGGAAATGACGTCCACCGCGGATGCGTTGCTGCTGACATCGGAGATGAAGTCCATAAGCGATCCGACAACGCTCGCGGCGACCTCGGGGAACTTGATGGCGGCGGAGTGTATCGAGGAGATGAGGAGCGACCTGTATTCGGGGTTCTTCTCGTATTGTTCGTCCACCGTCTTCATGAGCTCCTTCTTCAGCAGAAGGACGACCTCTTCGACATTCCTGCTTGAGATCATCTCCATGGCAATATTGAGCGACTTCTTCCGCACGTCCAGGTCGGTACTAGACAGAACGCGCAGGACCTCCATAGTCAGATCATCAAGGACGCCCTCATTCTTGTGTCGCAACTGCTCAACCCGCTCCAAGACGATAAGCTTGACGTTGTTATCCGGCTCCTTGATTGCCAGCTCCACGAACTTTCCAGCAGCTGCCTTGACTGCGACCGGGTTGCTTGTGAGGGTGGTAAGGGCGTGCGCGGCTTCGTAGATGACGGTCGATACCTGCGATTCGAGGAGGTCGAAGATCAAGCGGAGATAGCGGGCCTTGTTGGATGGGTTGACGATGGCGTCTTTGCGGATGAACTCTAGCTCGGCGAGAAGTAGGAGCTCCTCGTGATTGGGTATGGCATCGAAAACGGTGCTGAGGTATTCGAGAGCCTTCTCGTGGCTCACGGAGACGAGGGCGGCGAAGGCATTGCGCTTGCATGTTGGGTCGTTCTCGTCGTCGAGGAATGTCACCAGCAGATCGGGCGCATCTGGCATGAGCTCAGGAAGATGTGTGAAGATGGATGCGATAGCGAAGGTTGCGTTCTTCCGGACGTATGCGTGTCGATGTGTGAGGCATTGGCGCACCGGTTCTGAGAGTGTCAGCACAATTGGGCTAAGTATGGAGGGCAACATTCTTACGTAGTAGAGGTTCTACAAGCTCAGCATCTCGTAGCTTGGTTCTGTTCCGACTATCAGCAATGCTCGGGAAGGTGTCGTGGAGGATCCTACACGAAGCGCAATGTGTTTCCTCGTACGTATTCGTTGGGCGCCTGCAAGTCGAACCGAATCGCATTACTGTATCGATTAGCAAGCTTCATGTGGTATAGTATTTTGAACTCACCAGACGAGAATCCACTCCTGCCTTAGCTTGCCCTGGGCGTCGTGCTTGGGGCAGACCTCGAAGAAGAAGTACATGAGCTTCTTGAGCGGCTTCGACTTGCTAGGCATGACAAATCGGATAATGTGCATGAGCAGGCCAGCCTGGGGGTCGCCATTGAGCATAATCGAGAGGATCTTCTTCTGCAGAGCTGTCAGACGGTCGCATTCAGCGAGGCGGGGCAGTGCCATTGCGGGAGCGCACCATAGTCTCGATCTTCTGCTCATCGCTGCCCTTCTCCAGAGCATTCTTGAGCTCGTTCTGTGATGGTACGTCGGCGGCATTGTCCTGGTGCACCTGGTGTTGCCCGTCAGCTTCCCCATACCCACGACCTGCCAGGTGTTCCTACCAGACTGTACGAGTTCTCGAGAAACGCCGCCATGATGCCGGGTTATGTGATATATGGGATGGCCCCGGGGTGTACAGTGTCCAGCTGCGATAACGTGACTCCAGGTACGGCCGTCAGCCCTCAATGTCCCGTGGAGTCCAGAATAAGTGGGATGGGCTACGTGTATCGATCGACGGGGGCGGTGGAGGGAGTCGTGAGGTTTGGCGCAGCTGCAGCCTAGCGGGGAGGGTGAAAGGACTGGCGTGGCCTGGGCGGAAAGGTGGCTTGTTGGAGATATGGGTGCAGTGCTCGTCGGGACTCTGTTTACCTCCAGGTGTCTGCTCGAGAAATGGTCGCTCCAGCGAAGGCCGCCTCGCTAGACTTGCAGGGGTCTGGCCGCCAAGATCTCCAACCCTCTGCCGCGACGGTACATCAACACCACGACACGCGCACCCCAAGCACTGCGAATTCCTATACGCGCATCGTTAGAGCTCGATATAGGTAGTCGCAAACATGACAACCAACGAGCCATTTTACCTGCGTTACTAGTATGCAGGCTGTGGATTCTCAAGCACGTGCAGTTACTAACATTTTCGCAGCTCTGGTCACCAAGGCCGATTCGGACACGAGTTCTTGGGTGCGCAAAGCTGTTGCGAAAAGAGAATCACGAGTCTAACTTGGTATAGAGTTCGATTTTCGAGTGCTCGGAGACGGTCGCAGCGCATCTGCCCGTTATGCCAACAACTCAAACTACCGCAATGATTCACTCATCCGGAAAGAGAGCAAGTCATTCTCTGCCCTTGACGTGATGTGCTGCTAACGCGCCGTTTAGTGTGCGTCAGCGATGCTTTGGTAGCTGAAATCAAGAAGATCGTCAAGGACAGTGAGATCCTCAAGTATGTGAAGGAACCAAAGTTACGTATCATCTGCTAACTCATTCCAAGGGAAGATGACACAAAGTGGCCCCAGAAGAACAAGGACGGCCGTCAAGAGTTGGAAATCCGGTTAGGCAGCGAGCACATCTCTTTTGAGGTAGGATGGTCCGTCTATCATGGCCTTCGGTGAACTGACGACAACAGACTGCGAAAATTGGCTCGCTCCAGGACGTACAAGACTCGTCAGACCCGGAAGGCCTCCGCGTCTTCTACTACCTGGTGCAGGATCTCAAGGCTCTGGTCTTTTCTTTAATTTCTCTGCACTTCAAGGTATGCGATCAAGTGCACTCATGTCGAACATGAAGACTCACAGCGTTACAGATCAAGCCTATCTAAGCCTCTCGCCGCCACATGGAGGCACAGTAGCGTTGCTTTTGCCGACAGCGCACAGCCACGGGGTTGTGGCACAACCGCGGCTCGATGTGGAATGACGTAGGGACGGCGTACGGAGTCAACTGGAGGAACGACATCTGCTTGTGACTAGTGTCACCTGATCTCCGTGATTCTTTTAGGACGATGGTGTATGAGAGGAGGATGCTCAGGAAAGGGCTATTCGACCAAAATTCGTTAGATCGCGCGGGTCGGCTCGGAAGGTCAACATGGCCCACTTGGCAAGGAATGATAATACAATTTACAGATGCAATCGACGGCCTAGATATCAAGTGTTCCAATGTGTCTAGGTTTGGCCCCATGTCATCCCACGTGAGCCTAGTGCGGCTTCCCCGCGTAAGTGCAGCTCAGTGACCCACTAACTTTGAACCGCCTAGACACCTCCGCCGAGTCCAAGTCATCCATCCAGCATGCATTCTTCCCCATCGCCACGCTTCTGGCTTCCGCAAGGCTCTATTGTATAATCGCACATTCATCCCCTGCCGTCCCATGTATAATCGCCTCGCACCTTCGCTGTAGTCTCGTCGCACCTGCTATCGGACCATGCCGACGCCGGATGATGAAGCCATGGTCTCGCCGGTGGAGCACGAGAGCATCGCTGGCCGCCCGACTTGTCCACCCGAGGAATCGCGCGTTATCGCGACCCACGAATTGAATGAGACACGGGGCGCCCACGACGACAGCAATGCCAGCGCCGTGCCCGATGCTCCCATGCAGCAGCCCACTCCGTCTCCACAAAACTCGCGCGAGCATACCCAGGCGCCCGACGACATCCAGACCAAGCTGCCCAGCACCGACAGAGACTCGCCCAGCAGAGACATTCCCACGCCTATGACGGCGACAGACGACGGCACTGAAGAGCAACGCACCTCTCACGTCTCGCCGCTTTCTCCCGCTGCGCCAACTTCGCTGCTCGCCAGCCATCTTTCGTCCCCATTCCCCGCGCATAGGGTACGTCAGACCAGCATGCATGCAGAACAATGCGCAAAGTAGACGTTGCTAATGCCGATGCAGTTCCTACCCAACACATCCTCGTCCCTCCTTCGGCCCGGCAGTCGCTTCGTGGGCACCCAAACCTCCGACCGCCAGCAGTATGACGTCGAAGTCGATATAAAACATGTCGACATGCGCGAGTCCTTCATGTGTGGATACTTGCGCATCAAAGGTGCGCACACATCTCCGCGTTGCCATGCAGAGCCTGTAGACTAATCCGTTCGCAGGGCTAACGGAAGACCACCCAAGTCTGACGACGTACTTCGAAGGCGAGATCATCGGAACCAAATACACCTTCATTACACAGCATCCGGAATGGGGCTCCAACGAGAAGGTCGACCGGCAACACTGGGGGCGGTTCGACGCATACAAGCCGATTGCTAAGTACTCTGCGCGCCAGGAGCAGGTGTCGAAGGAGCTGAACCAGAAGGAACACCTCTTCATGCGGTGGAAGGAGTACTTTCTCGTGCCAGACCACCGAGTGAGGACCATCAGCGGTGCGAGTTTTGAAGGCTTCTACTACATCTGCTTCAACCAGCTCTCGGGTGGCATCGAGGGCATCTACTTCCATGCTAAGAGCGAGAAGTGAGTTTGACATCCCAGCCAACATGGTCGTATGCTAACACTGCCCAGATTCCAGAAGCTCAATTTGAAACACATCCAAGATTTTGGGTGTCAGGGCGCGATTGAATTCCGATAATGTTGATGACTGAACGAGAACGACTGGGCATTTGGATATGGATTAGCATTAGGGCGCACACCTGGGATTGTCTTCTTGTATCGATTTTTCTTCCCACGGACCGTATGCAGGGTGCCAAGGTCGTCGGGCTTTTTGTAGTAACGTCTCTGAGACATGCAGGTCGAATTACGTCACGCTACGCTTTGTCGTACAAGCAGTAGATCGCTGCGCGAACGGCTGTTTGCTGTGTTGCTGCAGATGTGGTGGACCAGAGACCCTGGCGCTAGCGAAAAACTCGCTTGATTCGTGATACTCAGCTAATCGACTATTACCTCAGCACCTGTGCATCTACCTTTGACCCTACTTCCTTGCATATCTGTTAATTGCGTATACCAAAGCCACCATGCCAGGCGAAACAGCAAAGCGCACAAAGCGCGAGGAGTACAAGAAGTCGCTGCAGACGGAGGAGCAGCAGGGCGCTATGCCCAAGAAGAGGTTCTACAGGCAGCGCGCCCATGCGAACCCCTTCTCAGATCACTCGCTCACCTAGTAAGAAGATTTGGTCTTTGATGAGAAATGTATCTAATGTTATGCAGCCCCAAGAGCCCCGCAGACATGGACTGGGCGAGTCTATACCCCATGTACGCCAAACATCCCAAGAAAGAGACGGAAGAAGGGCAGAATGAGTCACATGATCTCAGCATAGAAGAGCAACTGGAAGCAAATGCGATATCAAAGAACGTCGAAATAGCAGACATAGGATGCGGTTTCGGCGGCCTACTCTTCGCCCTCGCACCCAAATTCCCTGACACATTGATACTCGGTCAGTTTCCCCATCCCTCCTCGCCACCCCATCCACGAAAACGCGCCCACAAAGACCACAAGCAGCCATCCCCAGACTAACACGAACCCACAGGCATGGAAATCCGCATGTCAGTAACAGAATACGTACAAGAAAAAGTCCGCGCCCTCCGCGTCCAAAACGCCTCATCATCGCAGCTCTACCAAAACACCTCCTGCATCCGCGCGAACACCATGAAATTCCTGCCCAACTTCTTCCAAAAACACCAGCTCAGTAAAATCTTCCTGTGTTTCCCGGACCCACATTTTAAGCAGCGGAAACACAAGGCGCGCATCGTGTCCTACACTCTAAACTCAGAGTACGCTTACGTATTGAGGCCTGGGGGTGTGGTGTATACGATTACAGATGTCCAGGATCTGCATGAGTGGATGAAGGGGCATTTTGAGAGGCATCCGTGCTTTGAGCGGGTGGAGAGGGTGTTTGAGGAGGGGGAGACGGTGGATGGGGTTGAGGGTGTGGGTATGGATGAGTGTGTTAGGTTGATGAGGAGTGAGACTGAGGAGGGGAAGAAGGTAGAGCGGAATAAGGGATTGAAGTTTGTGGCGTGCTTTAGGAGGAGGGAGGATCCGGGGTGGCCGTAGGGAGCGGGTGGGAGATGGTTCTAGCTGAGAGGGGTGTGACAGCTCTGTAAATTTAAGCATGATGTGGAACTAAGCCCTGTGTTCTCATGCTAAGCAGACATGAGGATCACTCATACTGTGTATCTCGATCTAGCATCAGATTTATGGGTTCCTTCGGCGTGGGACTATTGCTGAGCTATCATGACTTATGGTGCATTTGGGTGAAGATAAGTTGCTGACTTAGTCTTCAGCGAGAATGAGTTGTTCCATCTCGGGCTTGCTTCTTATCCCGTATTATCGATAACAGAAGCGCTAATAACATGTACCCAATTCTGTACCTTCGGCACTAAAGCGAAACATTTGCTGTATACTGATAAAGGCACACCCAGATCAGGACTGCATCTACTTACGTGTCGGGCGTTGGTTCTCTCAAATCGCGTTCTGTCACTCACAAATTACTATGGTGGGCGATTTCTAAGGTTGCTTGTGCATTACAGCGCTCTATGACAGTGCTACCTGGATATACTTGTGATGATTGAGAGCTCTGTTTCCCCTTGCAAGCAGCGCAGTCGTATGAAACGACTAATCGCCATGACTATAGTTGTCTTTACCTATTCCTCACTTGTTACAAGACCGCTTTTGGATGAGTTAAACGCTGTAGTGCTATATCTCCCTAAGGCACGGGCGATAACATCGCAAACATGGATCGCATGGTGGTTATTAACACAAAGAAATTTCACCTGTGCAGTAGTTTGACCCACCAAGCCATGCGTGGGAGCTTTTGTAAGTAGGGACCAACTTAAAAACATAGCCGTGGTAGCCAGCGCGGCTCGCCCGATGATATGTAAAATAGTGATTGTGACTGGCTCGCTTTGGCGCGTTCTATGGTAAAGTAACCTTGGTTATCCCATGCTGAAGAAGGATTGGTTGCGCAAGCAAGTCTAGATATGCGGTACCGCGGAAACATCAGGGCCACATTGTAATATAAAATACCCATGTCTTCATCTCTTCGCTTTTCTTAAACACAAACTCTCACAAAGTATCTTCACGGTTGCATTTCATACCCAACCATACCAAGACCAAAACCAGCAAGGCATCTTCTCAACACCATGAAGTTCACCACCATCTTGGCTGCAGTTGTCGGCCTCTTCGCCGCTTCCGCTGTCGCACACGAACAATGGGTCTACAATGACCACCGTAGGCCTCGTGCACAGCCCGCAGTCCCAAAGATGAGTAAGTATTCCGTACCGATAGCATGAGCTAAGCGCGACTCCGCAATATGTCATGCTAACCCTCCACAGCAGGTGACTACGTCCCCACAGCAGAGGACAAGTCTCTCTGCGCCCGCTGGGACGGCCCCCGCTGCCTCGACGACGAAGAAGGCCCCAACATCTTCGACGAGGAAGAGCGTAAACGCCAGGAACTACAAAGTCCTAAGGAGAAGCGAGAGGAGGCCCTCGCGGAGTTGAAGAAGATACAGAAGATCTGGGATGGGTACCACGCGGAGATGCGGAATCTGAAGATGATGGAGAAGATCTATCAGGGATTTGATGAGCAGTTGGATAGGCTTGAGAAGATGGCGAAGCTAAAGATTGGCAAGAATCGGGAGGCGGATGAGGTTGAAGATGGGGGTGAGGGTGCGGAAGGGATGTTGTAGATTGGGACGACTGGCAGGGTTATGATGGTTTGAGATACGCGTTGGAGATGGATTGTGGAATGGGCTAGAGAGCCAAACTGCGAATGCTATTGTCTACCTCGATGGAATTTCAGAAATTAGAGTGGAAGTAGGTCGAAAGTGGCCGTCGCACAATGAAATGGAATTGATCACAGTAGTTTTGGCTTCAGGATGCAAGTGTAGTGGAGAAGTCGTGATGTCGACCTGCCCTGCAGCGCGATGCACAAGGCACGTCATCCCGAGGTTGCAGCACTGGCCACCGAACGAGGCCCATTGCGCTAAGTTTATCCAACCCTCACTTCATCACAGTCACTGTCCTTCTACACAACCACCGAGCCCGATTACTACGCCACGGACTCCCGACGCCTATTTCATTAAACAACTCAGTAGCTGATTCATCGCTATGAGCAACTTTGGAGGCGCCGGACTCGGGCAAAAGGTCCAGAAGCCGAATCCGTGAGTTCTTCCCTCCATGCGCATGTCTCGATTCGGCGCTTGAGTACTCAGACAACATGGCTGCCTCTTCCTATCTTGCAGGTCCTTGTGCTAACAGTTGTTTCACTTCAGGCCAGAGCGCGGCTCATTCCCTCTCGACCACGATGGTACGCTTCACAAACCCTTTACGTCCTATTGAACCATTCGAACCATCCCGGCACCGAGCCGTCATCGTTATTTGTACAAACGACCCGCTGACACTGCATTTCAGGAGAATGCAAGGACATCATGCTGTCGTACCTCCGATGCATCAAGTCACATCGCGGCACCAACGATCCTGAATGCCGCGGCCTCTCCAAGTCATACCTGTCATGTCGCATGGACCGGTACGTACCATCATCTACTTTGTCTCGAGGAAGGCATCGCTGGACCGCGATACAAACATGTCGCAGCGCTTTCCTTTTCATCAGCAGCCCACATCATTCCGTCACCTAATTTCAGTAGCATCTGCGGAGTCGCGCATCCTTCTTCTCTTTCTCATCATTCCCCTTACATAATGAGCATATGGCTGACTATTATCATCGTATTAGAAATCTGATGGCTCCGGATTCGTTCAAGAACTTGGGCTTCGGCGAAGACAGTGACGGCCCTGCCACCACCGCTGCAAACGCATCTCAGTCACCACACCTCAACAGCCAAAACAAACCTCGCGGGGCTTAGATAACGAGTCGCTATTCGAGCGGAGGACAAAGATCACGCGGTCAACCGTTCGGTAGCATCCGGAGAACATGGCTCACATAGACCCCTCGGAATACGTCTCCCCTCTTCTTTCCGAAAACCTTCGACGTGCTAATGACGCACATGCGCATGTGTGAGTACGCCCCATGCGCGCCCTGCATCGAGACTGCAGATTCGACAGGTGACATTGAGAGTCGACCCTGGATCAAACCGGCAAAGCATTAAGTGAGACAAGGGGATGGTCGGATCGGCGGCACTGGCACCCATCTCCGCGAAAGGCACAAATACAAGCAACTTGGATACAACAAGGAATGCCCATGACAGCTTGGCAGATGCTGTAAACACCGAGGATACTGGTGATACCCGGGCGCGCCACAACAGATCCGATGAACGACAAGGCAGTGGAGATAACACTGCAGGTCTATCTGAATCACATCGTTCTTTGTAGAACCTCGATAAGATAGCGGCGCAAATACACCTTGTTCACCGCTACATATCCCCATCGATCACCATCCCTCGTCATCCTGCAGTGGCAACCGTCCTCCCCGATCTTGATCCGAGACCTGCAAGTCATCCCCCCGCAAAACCTAGATCTAGGAAACGGCGCTGCGCTGCAGATCGGGGGGTGTAACCGTCGTACAGCCGGCTAGCTGACACTGCCGATGGGGGCACGATGACTTACTCAACACCCATCTTCCTTGCTGAACAGTCCGGCTATCTAAACATGTGCGATGCGCATCTTTGGTAGCGC